AATGTTGAGTTTCACTGATATCATATGTATGTGTAGATGTCGAAATAGATGGCCAGGTAATTGTATTTGCCAACTAAAGCCAACTTTCCTACTCACGTAAATACAAAACTAAATATAAATAATACATAAGTAGATATAGCATGGAAAGGCGGCTGGCCGAAAACGTGTTTATGGCAGCAATTTCATGTCTTGAGCAGCGACTAAAACACGAATGACGTAAACTTCGTCACAAATGCGAAAAAGCTCCGTGTGCGCATGTATATGTGACGCCAAAGCAGTGTGTTTGTCTATCACTTCATTGCTTGTACTTAGACTGCGCAGTTTATTTGCTGCTACCGTTTGTTGGAATTGCTGCGGATTATTCCTTAACCAAACTAAAGCAAATTAATAGCGTTGGCATAGTCAGCACAAGCCCCTAGAACATACATACATTTGTACGTCGATTTGCACAAGCGAAGTTCGCAACAAGTTCCCAGTGTGGTCTTGACGACACTGAGGTAACTTATACGCGGTGTATCCCACCTTCTTTAAAATATTTATGTATATAATTTTGCTTATGCCGACTTTTATTTTGTTGGGTTGTATAATCGTTTCAAATTCAAGCCCAATTGACCACAGTCAATGTGAGTCTATAAAATCGTATTGTACAGGGCAACGTAACGTTTAGGATTTTTAAATTCTAAATTCCATTTAGATTTGAATATCACAGGAAGTTTAATAACATGTTTTACTATTTAAGTATATTTTAACATTTTTGTCTAGGACATTGATTGGGAAATGTTGCTTTAATCTAAATCGTTACACTTAAGCACTTAGTATGGTGGTAATAACTTATAGTTTTGCATAAGAAGAGCTTAATTTTTTAGCAGTGACTCAGAGCTACAGATATATTATATAATTTAGTTCAAAAATTATTCATAATTTTCATATCAACGTTTACAAAAATGTTCTCATCTTTATGCTCTAGTTTCATTTAGGTTAGGTTAGGTTACACTGGCTGGCTGTCACGTCAGTAAATTAAGATCTGTGACTAGGCGATCCTGCATGCCCAAGCATGGCATCCATCTCACTCTGATCTGTCTGTCAACCCATTCGCAAATTTCGTTGTGTACCGTTTTTAACGACTTGCGTGTATCCTGAACTGATTAGGTAGTCATGCGGATGGCACCTTTGGCAATCTCATCAGGTATTTCCTTTCCTGCAAACTTGTGGCCTGGCACCCAGAATGTATGCAGCAGCTTTCCGGCAGTCATTATATCTACTGGCTCCCTGCGTCTAAGGACATTTTCTGACGCAATGCGATGTAAGATTATTGCTTTAATTACCGCTTGGTTAACGACGTATAAATTGATATTGTTTATGTCATTTCCTGCATTGTTAGCTATCTCTGTTGATCTCATCTCATAGCTCCGCGCAATAGATCCCGGCGTCCACTCCATCAGCGATTTTTGATGAGTCCGTGTATATGTTAAAAGTTCCGCTAGAGGGTCGCGTGAGACCTTCTCTCCCAGATTTTGTTTCATTTACATTCTTATACTATGTTCGCACCGACACAGAATTCGTGTTTTCATAGACAAAAGAGGTTTCACGCGAAAACTTGTGTTTTCATCCATACAAAATCTGTCAAACGAAAACACAGTTTTCGCTGAAAGCCCCTTAAAAACTTACATTCCACTCATTATAATCGGTGCCTGCTCTAGTTTAATCGATATTAGTCAATTATCAGTTGACAATTTGTTTACATTCCATAATTGGCCTAACGTACCCTACAAGAAACTGCTGATGGGTTCACCAATATACTTACATTTGATATGTCAGTACTGTTAATTTACATTTGCATTTTTAAATTCAGAACTATCCACTGATTGGAGAAAGACGTACGCAGAGCTATTGAGAGGAGGAGATGGCATCAAGTGAAAATTTATTTTTATATTTTCATATTTTATTATATTTTTTGTTGCATTCCTTTTTATATTTAAGTATATTATTATAACTAATTTTGATTAAAAGTTTGAAATTTATTAAAGAAATAAAAATTATATTAGGTAAAGTAAAAAGTTCGTTCGGTTTTTTATTGATTTTTCAAAAGATGATAACTTTGTGTAGATTTGTCCGATTTAAGTCAAATATGCGCCGTTTTGTTCGTAAACTTGTTGCCAACTTCATTATACCCCTCTCGTAGAAGACTGCGTCCTTATTGCCAAAAAAATCGGAGAGCCAATTTTCACAGGCCTCTCTTGAAGCCAACTTCTCACCATTAAGCGCGTTAGCCATGGACAGGACAAGATGGTAATCACTTGGTGCCAGGTCCGGACTATAAGGTGGGTGCATTAGAACCTCCCATCCGAGCTCCAGGAGCTTCTGGCGAGCCACCAAAGACGTGTCTGTTGATCAAAGATGGCCTCTTCTGGATGAGTGCTGCCTTCAAGCGGTCCAGTTGTTGGCAGTAGAGGGCCGAATTGAGCGTTTGGCCATAGGGGAGCAGCTCGCAGTAGATGATTCCTTGCCCATCCCACCAAACACACAGCAAAACCTTCCTAGCCGTTAATCAGGTCTTGGCCACCATCTGGGCCGCTTCCCCGAGCTTTGACCACGACCGTTTGCGCTCGATGTTGTCATAAGTGACCCATTTTTCATCGCCAGTCACAGTCCGCTTCAGAAACGGGTGGATTTTGTTGCGATTCTGCAGCGATTTGCAGATGGAAATTCGGTCCATCATGTTTTTTGCGTTCGTTCGTGTGACACCAAAACATCGAGCTCCTTTTTGAATCCAAGGTTATGCAAATGGTTCTAAACGGTTTTCTGGCTTATCTTTAGTTCCTCAGCAATTAAATAAGTGCTCACGTGGCGGTCTGTTTCCATTATTTCCATTATTTTATCGCAATTTTCGACGACAGACCTCCCGACGCGTGGTGCATCTTTGACATCGAAATTACCGGAACGGAACCTAGAAAATCACTTTTGTGGTACACGTTCGTTTACAGTATCGGGCCCATAAACTAAATTAATGTAATATATAGCGAATTTTCTCTTTGTGCTCACAACGAACTGAGTAAATCAATCGAAAAACTGGTCAGCAATGACTCAGAAAAAGACATGTGAGTGAGCAGTATAGATATATAGTGAATCAATTCCGAATACCCATGTGTTAAAGAGAGATGCAAACTCACACACATACGTTTGTTTACATCAGTTTTTGCACAAGGCTCTTAAGAAAATGATAGAAACTTTGTTCTGCGCGCTGACAAAATTTTTTCAGCTATGACTGTCATATTACCCATCAGATGACCGTCACGGTTCTTGTAGGGTACATAACAAATGTAAAGAAATAGATGTGTGAACTGTCAATGAAAACTCTTCAAAAACACACAATGTCGGTCAGAACGACTTTGGTTCCACAATCCACAAATTGTGTTTTCAAGAGGATTTCAATTCGGTGCAAACATAGTATTAACAATTCTGTCAGTGACGTCGAAAAGGAAAACTTCATTAGTTAATTGCAATACAATTTATAATCATAAAAGTCCCTTGCTTCTAACTTTCAGCGAATTTGTGTATAATTTTTTCGTTAATTATTTTCCTTTTGAAAGCCGAGAGCTACCGCAAAATATTGGTTTGATGTGAATATTTTACACACCTCAGGTAATGCTTTTAATAGACACGCTCGCCCTTTAATGGGCAGCATGAAAAACTTTTTCAAACTTTGTTGATATTTCAAGTATTTTCAGAAATTTAAGTGCGAAGGAAAGCGACGAATTTTACTTGTGAATTCTATAATTTTTTTCTGCTGTTCCATATGTATTAGCAAATGTAATTTCTCTTTACGCTTTTCGCAATTATTTTGAGAATGTAAAGATAGTCATAAATATATTCTCTGACCATATGATTACACTTTTGTACGTGTGTACAAAAGTCAATAAAGAAAGATAAAAAAGCGAAAGTGGATGCGAATACTTCGATTTAGGTTGCTAGTCTGCAAAATAGCTAAACCACAAAAGCCAGTGTGTGCAGACATAATATTTCTGAATTTATGGAAAAGTGTGATAAATTATGCAGAAATCATGAAGAAGCCGAAATGATATTGCGCCTACGCAGTAGAAATCCTCAATCTGGTAAATTTCTACTTAAATTATATTGGTATTATATGTACTATATGAAAATGAAAGACCACCATCTACTTGAAACCGTGTGTTTGGTATGCCGATTTCTTCATAAGATGTAATAATAGGAATATGTTGTCTGATTCATTATACTACCACTACATTTAAGTATGTAAGAAACCAAAATTTCCATTACTCCCAGATCAAGTGCTCTTCAGCTATAACAGTTTTATATACTCAGTTTGAATATACTTTCAAATACTGCCGAGCAAATGGAAATATTTACAAATAAATCTCACGGAGAAATGACCGCCGTCTGGATCAAATGAGCTGTAGCAATAACGGCAAATCTTCCAAAGAGAGTTTGAGTGGTTGAAAAAGGTACGTGTGTCAGTTCTTATCTTAAATATGGATACGTTAACAGAAGTTTTTCGGTTTAAAGCCACTTTATACTATTGATTATATTATTGTTAGAGTTTCAGATATATTCCCTGTTTCAGTTTCCCCATTGGTAAATATTGATGAACCTTCGGAGACCTGCATATGAACCTCATCAACATATTTACGTGAATAAGATAATCAATTGTAGTACTTCTTTCGCTTATATCGATTAAGTAACGAAACCCCTACATAGAGGACCAGTGAACGTTTTAGTTGGAAGTGCAAATAACAATTATAAAATTGGAAAAAGTAAGAAGTATCTTTGGAATTTCAATAAATAATATTTTAAAATAATGACGCGTATCGAAATTTTCGACAAACACAATATATAACACTCAAAACGACAGCTTCAAGTGGTAAGGGCTTCACACACTCGCACAAACCTCCTTGATGAATATTTTTAGTACAGTTTAACTCAAATTATTTGTGAGTAGAGAAATGCTGACGAAATTTACTTACTTTATTTGGTCCCATATTTCTTCACCGAAGTTCTTCAACACAAGCAGCTCCAAGGCGTAATTAACGAATCCATACTGAAAAAGAGGGGGGAAACATACATTTATTTTTAATAAGGCACTATAAAGAACGGCTCTTAGGCAAATGAGTGTGGAATAAAAACTAGGCAAAATAAAAAGTTTCCAGAATTTCGGATTTGTGTGTGTGCACGATCACGCTGTAGTGCGGTGGCTTGACTGGGCCATGAACAACAACAACAGCATTAGCAGTGAGCCACTCCGAGTGTCTGTGCAAAATTAATTAATTTATCAAAAGTGTGAATGCGAAACGAATGCAAGGAGAAGTGAAATTCATAATAGCATATAATTACCTGCATACATACAGACGCAAAACAGAAACAAGTAAAGGACGGTTGCCCCATTCCAAACGGAATCAAATAAATTTTGCGCCACCTGCGCCAACTTACGTCAACTAGGCGGCATGGAATCCGATGTGGCAGCTGCCACTGTTTTTATTTTTCTCTTATGACTTTCGCCACTTCGCATCATATTTCACTAAACTGATGTAATTTTCTTTATCCAATATTATTGCATTTGCGTTGTTTCGTGCTCCATTCTAAGTGTAGGGGATGTTTCCCCTGCCCATATACACGGACATACTAGACCCTTTGTGTTTCTGGACTTCCAATACTTTGAAGCGCACTCAAACGAAAACGGATTGTTGCATAGTAGCTTTTAATTTAACCTTATTAGCGATTTTGTTACGGTTGAGAATTGAAAAGCTCGACGGATAATGTGTATTTATAACAACGCCAAATATATGAGAAAATTCAAAAAGCGAGGGATACGTGTCTTACCTTTTTGTAAGCCTTAGGAAATTTAAGAAGGGATGAATCAAAACATTCGCTTTTCATTAATGCAATTATAAATATCTGTATGTTCCACTGAATTCATAAAGCCGATTGTTTCAGATTTTCTCTCAATATACTATTATTACTAAGTCACATGAGCTGGTTACATTCGTAAAGGCGCGATAATGCATAATTTAACCAAAAAAAATGATAATTAATGACCGATACCGACATGAGCTAGTTGACAATCGAATTATTTATCGGCGTACTCTCTTTGACGCTACGAATAACTTTTACTTTTGACGGAGATATGCAGAAATGATCCAAAAATTGTATGCGGTACTTCAAATGAAGAATTTTTCTCTGTGAATTGAATGTTTTGGAATACTAGCTATATTTTTTATTACATTAAAATAATCACGTTTTATGAGCGCGCCTTTCCTACCACTCCCATTCGTAATATCTTATTGCTTAAAGCTTGATCACGATACCTCAATATTTACTGAAGTTGGAAGTAATTTGGCACTGATGGAGACAGCGTAAAATAGTTCGGCTAGTTTTCCGATTATATAAATATACATGTATCGCCCTGTACTTAAATATTGGAAAACGAACACTTTATTTTCAAACAACGAATACTAATTTTATCGAAATTGAATAGAACTTGTTAAGAAGGTATAAAAACGCGTAACGTAAATTAAGTATAAATGATAATTATCAATACGGATGTGCTGAAGATTCCGAAGCAATTTTCAAGCTATTGTGTAGCTTCATTCGCGGGCTTTGAGCGTGGGGACCGAATCAAGAAAAAAATTGTTTTCTTATCACGCTCAAAAAGTGTAACTTGAATTAATATAAAAGAAAAAACTTGAATTAAGATCAAAGAAAAAAACGAAAATACTGCATAAAAAATTATTATAATTACATAAGTTGATAAAAAGTGTTATGCAACAGCTTTACCGCGACATTCCCCGAGTGCCACACGTATTTTTTTTTTCAAAATCAATATCATTATATCCGGCTATATCAATAACTCCGTACATTTATATCCGATTTACTGGTGGTGTAAAATTTTAGAAGCCAGCTGAAATGAAGAGTACACAATTGCAATTTTGTAGATGGTATAACGCACTTTGTTGTAGCTATATCTAAGTTTAGGAAAAAAAAAAATTATTTTCCTGTTATTATTTCCTTTCACGAACTCCAAAGTTTTGCATTTACAATTTCACTGAAGCTAACTAGGATAAAATTGTACGTGTGTATGCATCTATATAGTATACTGTGAGGGTTAGCCGATTGAAGATATGAAATTCAAATCTCAGCGGCGAAAACCCGTCATCAGTCTAATTTGCTTCATCATTTCTCATTTATTATTAGCTCACATCGCTTTTTACTGACATTGAAAATGTACAAAAACAAATACACGAGCAGAAAGTTCAAGGCAGAACCGTAGACTGTCTGCTTAATCGCTTGTTCAGTCGCTCAGTCAATTATTCATACATTCTGCCCGCTAATGCCCACACACACATAAATATATATTATATAAATATGTCTATGGACGCATTAATGCCCGTCGAGAGTATGAATTATAAATATTTATTAAAGCTTAATGTATCTGCCAACAACCGCAAAGAGCAACAATATTGACGACCCACAAGAAATACAAAAACACGAAATCATTTTGCCCTGTCAACATCGATATTACAACAGTTATGTGAAAATTTAAACTAAACAAACAAAACTAAAACCCGAGCGTAGACCGCAAGTATTCACTCTTCACCCCGAGGACTCTTAAACTTTTACTAACGCAAATAAACTATGTACTCGTATCACCGTGTATTTGTGTATTCTGCCTCGCCTTCGCAATGAGTCGCTAAGAGTTTTCGCAATTTTCTATTCACAAGCAGCCCGCCGCCAACGTTGGCCTATGGCGCGGCCGTTAATCCCAAGCTCAGTGCGTACCTCATGACTTTGAACGTGGGCACCAATGCACAGACACATGTAAGTATACGATGTGTGTGTAGTACATCAAAACCAATTGATTGCACATATCCTTGAAGGTGTTCGCATGGAAAGGCCAGTCGTGCAGCCCGCCGGCTAGTGCGCCCGTATTCCCTGAGCATAAGCAATCATTATCTGTTTGGCCTGACGTCGCCTTTGCTTTACTTAGCAGTCCTTTTGCCACTGTCGTGATTAGTTCTTGCCTTCGCTTGATCCGCTGGGATGTGGCTCTTTATTTACCTGTCATTTCTTTCACATATTATTCACTGCCATTGCCTAACTTCAAAGTCGCCTGAAAAGTCGGCCAGTGGACATCCTTTCCGGACAACAAAACTTCATTGTTTTAAGTGGAAAGCAGCTAATTTTTTAAGTAATTTTAGATTGGAAAATATATTTCTGAAAAGTACTTTCATAAGTTAGAAATGTTTTTGGGAAAGTCGAAGTGAAAACAGATGGCTTCTTAAAGAGAACCAGCAAGCTGTTGTTTTAAAGCTTCCAACAAATTTTTATCTCTTCGATTAACTTCGAGCGATAACTCGACCCAAGACATGAGATATTCCGATGTCAATCAGTTCGGAAGTTATTTTTATATCTATCAACCGCAAATACTAATGTTCGGATTTGCTTAAGCAGCTATATAGCTCTTCTTTCTTTTTTGACATAAATATTTCTCTTCTCTAACAAAAATAAAAAATCCATTAATGGAAATTCATCAATCACTCTTGATACATTAGCTATTTAGAGAAAGGGATCTGAGTAGAAGGTGGTAAATGCAAAATATGTGCAATGAAATAAAAATAAAGCCAATGAATAAAGCAATTGGTAAGACAAAAAAGTTAATTTGTAAGGTATTTGTTTAAAATCATAAGCACTCACCATTTTGGGTTGGTGTGGGTTAGTCGGTTGATCAAGGAAACTCCGTCACTATTTAACTGCTCCGCTTTTGGAACAAATACTCGTTCATATATTCAATATTGGTCTGCAAGTAAGCTTCGTACTTCTTGTATTATATTCCACCCATTTCAGGACAATAAAACGTGGGGTTTAAACCCTTTTCCACTTGTTGAGTCACTTGCACAGTTGAACGCGAATCGACTGTCGCTCGCAGAGGTCGAGAAGCAGAGGATTTTCGTTACTTTATTGAGCCACGCCGGTGTGTAGGCACGCGAAACGAGCGATAAGCGACAGAATGACGGAACAGGCTTAACTGTGACTGCACTCACACACAAACAAATAAACGAGAGTTTACTTTCACCATTGCATTTTGCACTTACACACTCACACCGACGGGTCGATACGGTTTCCGCGATTTTCCGGCTTCACTTCAGTCCATGTTTTGTGTTATTGCTTTGTTTTAAGCAGACTGGGAATGCTATGCTACGACTATTTTATCGGTGACTTTAATTCAACGCCAAGCTGTTCACTATTTTTTGCAGTGCTTTAGGTAGTGAACATTTTTCAACTCATTTGCATGCACTTCCCTCTCTCTTTCTCGCTGTGGTTTTGTCGCAAATTTCTATTTTGTTTTGTTTTTATTTTCGCTTTTCTTAACTTTTCTATTGCTTCCGATTTAGTTTACACTTTTACATTAAAACTGCCCTGTAAGCTTCGCTTTCCGGGCTAAAAAATGAAAAATAAAAGTTTATTATATAATCCGACAGAAGGACATCAAAAACAGAGTTCTGCGAATAATTAATAATAATTTAGGCTAAAGGCTGCATGCCAATCTCTGACACCGATTACTCTTTGTTAAAATGTCTTCTGGCCAGCTTAGCTTAGAAATCCTCATGCTAGCTCGATCGTCTGTTCTATGTACATATGTCAAAAAGGCACAGCTTTATCCCTTCCTGACCTTATACTTGTAAGCCGCATTAAGGAGCACCTATTTGTGTGTGCATAGGAAGAATTGAATACTTTTCAACTCTCTTTCAAGCGTCTTCTACTTGCACTGACGAGGACCAAATTCGTAATTTGTTTAAATAAAAAATTGCAAACCTTTCCGCACGCTTGCAAACAGGTTTTTATCTCTTCACTATTTCGGGCATTCTTTTGGCGCTGCACGCTTCCCTTTGGTCGCTTTAAAATTTTGTTTTCGCGTTTAAAATATCGATTTTTCCGCTTCGGTCGCTGTGTGAGCAAGTTCGTCGTGTTAATTTCAGCGGCCTTAGACGTGCGAATTTTCATTCATGCATGTATGCATATGTTTATGTGTATGTGCTTTGTTGCCACAAGCAGAGCTGCGCTGGAATATTATTTTCATGAGGAAGCTCGTGTATCGTACGAACAAATACAAGTTGTGTTCTGAGGAAGACATATGAAAGTGCCAAGTGTGATGCCGCTGTAGTGTTCATACAACCGTTGCACCGGTTGCTGCTGCTGGCGTTTAGGATGCGAATAAATCAAGAAAAAGCATTCCGACACTAAAAACGCTCCCATACACAATATACATACTTACTTACATATACATATGCACATACATGTAATTCCTGTGTAAACTTCTACAATACTCATAGCATTTACAAGCACAACAAATATATACACATATACACATACACATACACATATGTATGTACATATATATGTATTTTTTAACTATGAAAGAGCATTGGCATTATTGTTAGTGGTGCTGTTGTCTGTGCTGCATTACTCATGTTGCTATGAACATACTGTTTGCTGTTACTGCCACACAATAGCTCACGACGGCTCGGTGGTTGTCAATGACCTACTCTGGCAAATGGTGTGCAACAACAGGCGAGTCTTTAGCGCTTGTCCCTCTGGCTTAGCGAGTTCGTTATTGTGGTTGCCTGAAATTGAGCCAATTCTTCGCAAAATACAAAACCACCATTGCATCCATTTATGTTCATGTACATATGCATGTGTAGGAATGTGGCAACATATTAAAGGTGTGGCCAAATATTAAATCGTATACATAATATATATACTATATGGGAATAAAGTTAGCAAACCAAAAGCTGACACACGCCAAAGTCAATGATTTAATGTGCATACTTTCTTTCAGCTTTAAATTTTCATTTCACAACGAGTTTTTATCTTTTCATTATACAGCTTTTGCAAGGTCATTTATCCGCCACTGGTTTACATTTCTATCTGTTTTTATTTAGAACTTGGTTTCGATCAAGAATCTCAAGGAAACAGCTCAGTGCAAAATTGTAACATATCGGATTTTAAAGCAAAACATAACTTACTACTTAGCTACTACTACTTTATTTTAGCTCATGAATATTTTTTAGACATTTGGCACAGCTTTCCTGGTTTTTCTTTATACGGTGTATTTATGGTCCTTTGATGCTTTTACTAACATTTAAAATCAGCATTTCGATAAAAGTTTTCATCTCCTTGTATAAAGAACGACAAACGACCATACAATAAGCTTCAGCTTCAGATAAAACCAAATAAATTTTTTGGGAAATCGAAAGCAAAATCTCAACACCAAGGTTGAACAATGTATACCCCCTTTCAAAAGGTCTAACTTTGATTGGTATTGTCAAATAAATGTTAGCTTAGTTTAAATCGCATTATCTCATTTATCGGCTTTCATTTGTGAGTATGTATATATGTAAACCCAAAATCAAAATTTTCAATTTGCAAATCTTTATTAAAAAACTACAACCTTACGAACGATTTAAACATTACAAATATTTGAACACGTCCTTTTCTTCCCTGCTAAGCTACAAATTTGTCGGAATCGCCAATATCGGCCCACTATAGCATATAGCTGCCTTTCAAACTGAACGATCGGAATCAAGTGCTTGTTTGTAAAACTTTTTCATTTGACAAGAAATCTTCACGAAATTTTGCATGAGTCTAAGCCAATAATATAATCTCCGAAGAATTTGTTCAGATCGGATATCTATAGCATATAGTTATTTAAAGGAAACTTTTGTATTTCTAAAAAATATTATAGCTTCGGTGCAAGGGAAGTTAACGTTTTTTCTTGTTTTTGATTTGTATATGCGTATATATGGCATAAAAGCTGCGGAAATCGGTGGGTGATGTTGAAGTTTTCTGCGAAATGCCCCACAGAAATGCAGTAGTAGACCAGTTACTTTCCCTAATGATGCAACTTTTTGTTTTTAATTATGACTATATCAATCTGAAGTCGATACTACTTTTAAATATCTAATAGTGGCAACGCACCTAAATACATGTGCGGTAGAGGAAATAACAAAATGAAATTCTAATTTAGTGCTCTCATACCCTAAAGGCTTGTATTTAACAACCAAAACGGTTTCAAAACTAATATTCCGTAAATAGCTCAAGGAGCACCCTGAGCTATGTTGATTTGTTGGTTATGATCCAGTCCTCTTATTTTATATTCCATATATGTTGCGCTTTACTCGGAATCACTACACCACCCAAGTGAAGCACATTTTAAATGTAAGCATGGAGCATTCGTGACCTTCGAGGGGCGTAAGAAAAGCGAAGCGTGCAAGTAACGTTTGTGGTGCGATTAAAAATGTAAGCATGCGCCGCGACTGTTCTATCATGACATAAGCAGGCGGCATTAGTGTTCACAACTACATATTTCTGTACAAACACAAACATATGTGAGTGCATTGTACGCAGTTCAACTTTGCGGAGCACAGTGTGAGTAAATGTGTATGAGGATGTCGACACAGTACCGTGCCTTCTTCAATGTCCTATGACAAGTGAACAATGCAACAACAGCAACAACAACGCCGCCACTATGCCAACAACTACCCGAGTCATTTATACACATACATATATAATATGTATGGGTGGGTGTGTGCGAGTATATGAGCAGTTGGAATGGTGTTATTGTTAAGTGAAGCGGACAATTGGCTTTGCGCTGTCGCCGGAGCTAACTAACGGTTTTGTAAACAAAATAAACATTGTTGCTACAATATTTGCGTGTGTTCAATGGTCAGCAGCCAAGCTACAGTTAATTCTGTGATTATCATCTAATTTTATAGACACAGCAGAACGTTCACACTGCTTGCATTTAGATTCGATCAAACAGTGAGCGATGATAAATGATTTTCATAGTTCAGCAAATGGAGAGATAAATTATTATTGCGAGAACAATACTGATAGTTATGACTGCTTGAGTTAGAAAAGTTTACAAATACATATCTGGGCCATTGCAAAGTTAAACAATTTAAAATGATGATCAATTTAACCAAATTAAAGCTTTCCAAGAGATTTTTCTGGAGAAATTATCGTCAAAGAATATTTTTAATTTTTTTTAGCTTTGCATGTCTTTACAGAAATTTTCTTTGTTATTGGGGTTTTCAACATTTTCTCTTCGCAATTTTTTTTTTTTTTGTAATCGGAGAAAGGATCTTTAAGTTATCGGTCATTCATCATAAATGCTAAATGTCTTTTTACACCCACTTAAGAAGAGAAAAATAAAAGAATTTAGTCACATACTTTGTCAAAGTGGATTGACAAATATGTTTATTTAAGTCAGTGAAACTGTGCGCACCTTTTTACATTTTGTAAGAGCATATAGTAGAAACAAATAAAATTATATTAAAACCACCTTCAAATGAGATATATGTATGTGATATCAACTCGAACGAAGAGGCTAAATTTAATATTTTGAGTTGGTGTGGAAATCGTCAGCCATAGGATTGGAATTCATTATATTAGGGATATGAGGTTTAGATCAACGTTTAGACCAATTCCATTCTAATTCAGCGCTAAGCCACATAACTTTTAAGAAAACTTGTGCATTTGATTTCATTTAAATATCACACATTTTGAACCTGAACGGTTTAAATACAAGTGGAAATACGGAAATCATTTTCACACAATCGGCATAAAACATGTTAGAATAACGAAAATCACAATACAAGTAGTATATGGAAGTTGGGAAAGTATTGACCCGGTTTTATTTATATTTGCAAATACCTCATATAGCAGTAAAGTCAGCAGGATGTTAGAAAATTCTGATATTATTTATATAGGGGCTTAGTCAAGTTTTACCTATTTTAGGCATAAAGTTATACTGTTATTATAAAGCAGGCTCTCTCATTTTTATTGAGATAACTCACATATTGGCCGATATATGCAGTATTAAGTCATCCGGAAGTTAGAAAATCTTTATATTAGGTATATGGGGGCTAAGGAAAGAATTGAGCCGACTCAACCCATTTTTGACATTCAGACATAATATTATCAGGAAAGGATTCTCTCTGAATTTCAATTATATATCTCACACATTGACCGATATTTTCGGTCAAAAGTCAACTATAGCCACTGGGGTCTATATATTGGGTATCTATGGCTTAAACAGTTTTGGTTCGATTTGGACAATTTTTAGAAATAAGGTGGTACACGCCAAAAGCAACATTCGTGCAAGTTTTATCCCATTTCCCCGATTTCCATTTTCGCACTGTAACATAAAAATATTACGAGATGTATGTTTCGTACCGCATTTGGTTGAAATCGGTCGAACGGCTCCTATGAAGCCCTCATGAGCCGTCGTGAATGTAAAACCTAATATCATTGACACATTTAGTTATTGATTTATCATACTTTTAGTAATTTTCAACAAAACCGTTATATGAGAAATCTTTTTAAAGATTTTCTAACCATATGTGCCCCTTCTGAATGTGATTCGCTGTACCAAATTTGAGTTCTGTATCTTGATGTACGGCTTAGTTATGGCATTTTATACGTTTCCTATTAATTGCGCTCGTCCTCAATATTTTGCCAAGCTACAGGTGTACCAAGTTTCGTCAAGATATCTCAATTTTTGCTCAAGTTACAGCTTGCAGAGACGGACGAAAGGACAGACACTCACCCGGATTTCAACTCGTCTCATCATTCTGATCATTTGTATATATATAACTCCTTACCTATCTCGGTGATACAAACACCCGTTAGGTGAATAAAACTACTATACTCTGTAGCAATATGTTGCCAGAGTATAAAAACCCAGTATTTTATTAATATGGTCTATAGCAATTTGTAAAGGAATATGTACATAAAAGTACCGAGCCATACTCCCGGTACCTCAAGTGAACTTTTCATGAAATTTTGAAAATTGTAGATGTTCAGATATTATCACTTTTTCAATCCAGAATCTGGCGGACTTTTGTTTGTATTGACTGGTTTTTTTGAGCATCTTTGCCTTAGGATGAAAATTTCGTTGCTTATTAAAATTGGTAATCAAGCGAGTTCTTTTTCTTTCAATTATTCTTTAACACAAAATATGTACATTTTCACATTTGGCACCATCAAATTACTTAAACTAGCTTTAAATATAATTTCTGTATTTAATTATTTGAAAATTTTCATTAATTTTCATTAGTTTTGTGGCAAAAAAAAGCAAACTAGTATTAATAATGAGGTGGTTTTATCGAACAAGAATACAATACAGTTCTCATATAATTTCTTTTTCAGCTGACATTTTAGCCTTTTGATTTAACTTGTTGCTATATATTCTTGTCTTCAATCAGATTTCTTTAATCGCTTAAAATGAAGCCTGTGACATTTATGTATGCACAATTATTAACCGTTTATGAGGAACTAGCTTATGACTCCTCCTAATGCTATACGGTGGCGTATACGCGACATGCATTCGTGAGTATGAAATCCCCGCTGATTGTGTGAGAGATGCCCGGCAGCTTACATCTTTAAGTGACCGAACCGACGAAAACTTTCACCAACGGAATCTTACCGTTTCAAGTATTTGGTTTTTGTGTATTTTTTATTGCAATATTATATTTATTAGTCATACACTTTGTTTCTCACTGTTTCGCGTTAAAGAGGTAATTCGCACATCAAAGAGCCGTCAACGACTGAAGATTTTCCATGCAGTTTGCGCTATAAATATTACCGTGCAATTTGCGACTCAAAAGGATGCTCGGCAGCAAAAGGATGGTGGGCTTTTGGGAGCTTTAAATAGCCGAAATCAGAAGAGAGTCGTTGTATTATGAATCATGCGCAGTTGAGAGCGTCTATGTACTCTTAATTTGTAAAAAGAGAAATATACGATTCCAGGAGGGCAGGACACCTTCACTTGGCCAAATTCACACTATGGCTGGTAAACTAAACTTAAAGCGATTCATTAGTTTTGTAAAACGATTTTTATTTGCCTAACCTATCGGAAAATCATAAACCACCAGAATACTTTAACAACAAAATATGATTAACAATATTTACAGATCAAATTTCTTAAACAATGAAGGTACGTATATTTATTACATTTTCTCATTTCATAGTAGAAGATATTTAACTTAGTTTCCGCTGTGGTCCAGCCTGTAACTGTAGCCCAGATGGCCGAGATGAACAACATTAGCCGATGTCGGCACACTGTTTCCGCTCAATGCATGCAGACCATTTCGAACGCCTTGAAACTGATAAATTTTTGCACTCGGCTCAAGACTAAAGGCTAGGTTTTGTGTTGGTACTGAACGTTCAACCCCGCTCCTGTAAAATGTGTTATTGAAAGTACTCAAATTATCACCGTTTGTGTAGAGAGGACTTCTGACTTGATCGGAGGGCGTGAAGAGCCGCTGTGACGAGACGGCACTTCTGCTGGGATACTTGAATCGCATGAGCCGGAAGTTAATCTCATCCTTGTTTACCGTTTCCAGTGTGAAGCGGTTAAATTTCGAGGACATGGCATAGACCACGCCACTCTCCCATGGAGATGCACTTATATCGGCCACGAACTGCAGTGCATCAACGTCGTAGAAAAGCACCGCCTGTTGCTTTGTTTGTGGATTCCAAGACACGATCGCAGTTTCCGTTACCGGGCTGAAGAGCAGGCTTCCATCCTGTGGCGCAAGGTAAAGCGGAAGGCCTTGAGAGGACTTTTTGCCCAGGAAACGTATCGGTAAAATGTCATGCAAACGCCGTGGTCCAGCTCTTAGGGCATCCTTGGTTATGGAGAAGATGCTATGAACATATATGCAAATTAAAATTAACGTAATTAATTATTCTACTGAACCGTAAATTTAAATTTTCTTACCGGTCAGTGGCCAGTGGTTGGAAATAAAGTATTCCGTTTACTGTGTCGAAAGCTAAACCAATAATGCCGTCCATAATAAAGAACCGGTCATTTAGCACCTGTACCAAGCCCAGGTCGGGATCAGGCCACATAGCCGGGTGTGAGAGGCGCCACATCATATCACGTGCTCCATCGTACACAATTAGCGCTGATCAATAAATGAAATAATTTTAAAGATAATGAAGAATTATTAATCTAAACTAACACCAATACTATTTTGCCCTCTAGGCATTACGAATAATTTTAGGACTCTGAATAAAAATCAGTCCTCGCCCCCTTCATTATTTTTAAAACATTGCCTTTGTCCTTCTAAGACAATAACGTTCTAAAACGAAACCTACTAAATATGAATATGAATATGAATATGAATAATATAAATAGGAAATGGGTAAAACGAACATTTAAAACAAGTAATGAAGAGCTAAGTTCGGGTGTAACGAACCTTTTTTTCTATATACATGCAATATTATATATTACATATACACGGTATAAAACAATGGGAAATAAGGATAACATTGACCCGATTTTATCTTCCTTTAGCATTACTACATATTATTTACATATTATGGATGTTTGAAAATCCTGATACTAGTCATATGGGGGCTAGGTCATGTTTTCACCCAATTTTATCAGTTATAGCGTTACATATTTGAGGATATATGCGATATAAAGTCAGACGGAAGTTCGAAAATCTTTCTATTAGGTATATGGGGGCTAAGGAAAGAATTGACCCGACTCAACCCTTTTTGATATTTAGACATAATATTATCAGGAAAGGATTTTCTCTGAATTTCAATTATATATCTCACACATTGACCGATATATTCGGGGTAAAGTCAACTATAGGTACTGAGCTCCACATATTCGGTACCTAGGGGCTTGAACAGTTTTGGTTCAATTTGGACAATTTTTGATCATAAGGTGGCATATCTTGAAAGCATTTTTTTTGCCAAGTTTTTTTCAGTATATTCATTAATGCTCGATTTATTTACTGGAAAGTCATAAAACCAGACGGAATTTAAATTTTTTTGTATAGGATGTAGGCGTGGTTGTAATCCAATTTCGGTCCAGTAGATCGCGGGATATGGGTTTTCACCAAACAGTGGGCGGTGCCATGCCCATTGTCCAATTTTTGTAGTGACTCCGAAAAAACTTGATTGTACTATCGTAGGTGTAACATTTAAAGTCTCTGACATGTTTATTTAATGGGCACTTTTACTAGTTTTAATCATTATATGCGGAGTGGATCTTAGTTATGGCAATTTATTTGTTTTTGATTAATGGCGTTTTGTGGGCAGTGAGCCGATTACGCCCATCTGCAATACTAACCATCTTACGGTACCATGAAACATGTGTACCAAGTTTCATAAAGATATCTCAATTTTAACTCAAGTTACAGCTTGCACAGACGGACGGACGGACAGACAGTCACCCGGATTTCCAGTCGTCTTTTCATCCTGATCATGATATTTATAACCCTATATCTAACTCGACTACTTTTAGGAAATACAAACGCCCGTTAAGGGAACAAAACTATTATATTTATGTATTCTGTAGAAACATGGTGCAAGAGTATAAAAACTTCGCCTTTGGTGTTAAGAAGTAAAACATAATGTTTACCACTCCTGGCTTTGTACAGATTGTTATTAGTTACTTTTTCTGATACTAACTTTCACCATCACTCGAACTCTCATTTAAACAACTAAGGAATATCGAGATTGGCTGATGGAATAAAAGTGAACCGTTTAAGAAGCCGTTCGGTTAACTATGAATCAGTTGGAGTTAACTCCTTGAAACTCATATTATTTCAAACTTTTAACCATTTGGGGTAACGGAACCAAAACAGTTCCATGTAATGCTTAGTGTAAATAATTTAGGAGCTCCCAACTTACCAGGTCTCACAGTGTCCGCGATGTAGACAAAGACATCGTCGCAAGTTCCTGAAATAGAAGTCGTTTCGTCAACGATCAAATTGACGAGGATCGACTGATTGCGCAAGACATCGCTCTGTAAATAAACATTTTCTAATAAATATTATTGCAACTGCTGCGACTTGAAGCTACTTACTGGAAAGTCGATGCGTCGAACCACTTGATCTGTATTCAAATCGAATACCAGTATTTTGGGTGGGCAAGTTTGTTCGGAGTCTTCGAAAGTGCGCGAAACACCGGCGTCTAAAATCCACAAACGGTTGCAAGAATCGATGCGCATGCGATATACGGACACCAAATATGAGTCGCTGCAGTTGAACGAGCTGCGGTCGCTAACCGTATACGACCAATCGGGGTAAGACTACAAGATAGTGTGTAATTATATGAGCATTGTCGAAAATAGGTGCGAAAATGTTTAAATTTGATTGAATGCGGCAGTCAGTACAGCACTTACACGCAATATCGGTGACTGGCTGTAGTCCGACTTCGATACATAGCTGACAGTTGTCGGCACGCCGGCAAAGAGCTTGGGTGTAGCAATGTAAATCCGGTCATAACCCACTGTCATACTCGTTGGCACTATAGTTATCGGATTGTAGTAGTTGGTGTCGGAGACGGGTGCATGTGGCGGAAATTCATACGAGAAAAGCTTCCATTGCTTAACAATTTCCAAATTGGAGCGCACGCTCAGGGAGCGCGCCGGCCTAATCCCGCCAAACAACACGTTGTGCACAATCAGCAGTGTCACTATGAAACCGGTGCGCACGCGCCACATATTGACGTTTATTTTACCACGTTTTGTTGTGGAAAATGTTTGCGTCGGGCCAATTAAATGCCTCACTGGTTTGGTGTATGACAAGCAGGGACAGAGGTTTTGACAGTTGTGCTTTTAACTAACGGCACCATCTACAAAAAAAAACGACTGTTGATTGGTTAGTTAATTGGTTATACGAATTAAATAGTTCTTTTAATTTCTAAATATAAATATTAGCTAACCTGATTGCAATTAACATAGCAAACTAATTTCCTTTTAAAATATAATAAAATATTGCATTAAAGTGTGTCTTCAAAGAGCTGGAATGATTCTGTAAAGAGACCTGCGGCAAAAGCATTTTGCCTATTTCATTTCTAAAAATAGTAGAAATTGGGTTTTAGAGAAAGTATGCTCTCTAAAGTATTTATCAGTATGGAGTTACTCATCTCTAAGTAAAATATGCCAAAAGTTAATATTAGGACTTGTTAGAATATGTCGAAAGACTTTCATTTTGCCACAAAGTGCAACTATTTTCATTTACCGATTACTCCAAACAAATATTATTTCATGTAAAACAAAAGTTTTCCTACCGCCCAGGCCTTGCTCCCACTGTTGTTTATAGTGAGGCAATGGTTAGAAAATCAGTATTATTATTTATATTTTCGCTGTTGTTGATATATTAAACAATTACTTTTATATATATTGAAGCCAGTTAAAAGTGCTTTAGCAGCATGTTTTTACCAACACAAGTGTATCAGAGACCAGTCACTACTCCAAGCAATAAGCAATTTTCATTTCATGTTTCATATTTCAAAAAAATCACAATATTTTGTATTAGCAATTTAACACTTTTGCCTCACTTTTTGCCTCTCCGCGATGAAGCTGAAACTATTCACACAGAAACTTATCTCTGGTAATTTGTTGGTTGTAAGAGCCGAGGCACAAACGAAAATATTGTTGAAAACTACACATATCTACTTATGTATTTACATAATATGTATAACTCAAATATTATTATTTAATGCATTGTGGACGGAAACACAGCCAGCCTGCTCTCCCATCGATTTGCACGCGCTCAATCCGCATAAACGGGTGTGACTATGTAAATAGTCTTATGTTTATATGTACACTTCAGCGCACGTTTTGTTTGCATTGCAATTTTCAATTGACCAGAGGCCTGCACAGGCCGCACGTAACCCCTGCGGCACATGCTGATCAGACGAGTTCGCGCATAGATAACCATATGAATGTGCAAGAGTACAAATAGACGTACATAGGAGTATTTACAACACCACTCGCATGCAACGCATTTCCCAAAAATAATCAAAAAGCAATCCAATAAATTATAATATTTTTGGCGCACCAATTCAATTAACATTGAAAACGGCGAACGCTAATATCTCTGATTTGAATACATATGTATTTGTACATTATACAGGGTGGCTCACGAATCGTGCTACAAAAACAAACCGTAATAACTTTTTTTCTGTGTAAGTAATCGACTTACTTTTTTATTTGGCAGGTCATTATTTCAATTTTTAAAAATAAATGCTTGGGACACCGAAAAAAGGGTTTGATAGTGCAGCTATACCAGGCAGGCGGTTATTACAACGAAATTTTGTCCAAAAATTTTTCAAATGGCCGAAGAAGATAATAACTTGATAAATTGTAAACAAAATGAAAGCATATGCGTGACTGAGCATGGAGGTCATTCACGGTCCATAACTTTTAAAAATAATTATATAAAATAAAATATACAATAAAAAAAAGACATCTAGTGCATTAATTATAAAAAATTGTATAATTTTTAATCAAAACTCCATCGTTAATATCGAAAACAATCGTAAGTGACCGTTTTGTACGAAATATTTTTCAAGCAGTTGAGAGCGAGATATGAATTTTTCTATCTGATACTAAGAAAAATATAAAAAACTGTAATACGGAGGACCTTCCCATTGCAATTAAGAGCTTTTTCTTACATTTGTCTAAGAACCTATTTTTCTGAATACCAAGCGAAAAAAAAATTTTCGTTTTTATTATCCACTCAAGTGTACATTTACTCTCGTATACGGAAATCCGTAATGGGGAAACATTATTTTGCTGAAAAATTGCACTTTCCGTGTGGTAAACCATTGAAACTCGAAAATCAGCTCCGAGTTATTTTCGACTGAATACAACACTGTTGTCAATGTATTTTTATAATAATATAGCTGTAATGTTAGAGCAAAGGCATTTCAAATAATGAGATATACGCGTATACGAGATAAAGTGTCATGGCTTTTTATCAGTTACGACCAGAGTTGCGAATTTTTTAATTAAAATATTTGCGATAAAAAGTTAGATTTTCATTTTTTAATCCAAGATGTTTGGGACTAAAAATTATAACATAAAAATATTACTTTTTGTTTTGAATGAACGCGAAAAATGTTGATTCTAAAGCAAATTATTATTTTTTAATTCTTAATTATATGCTTAAGATTAAAATTTCTATTTTCTATTTTTTAATCCGGTAGTTGGGATTAAAAATTGAAAAAAGAACTTTTTATTCCGGTTTTTGCAATTAAAATTCTATTTTTATTTTTTAATAAAAAAACGACGTGACGCAAAAGTTGTGAACCGTCAACTGCTATTGTTGATTGTAATGAAAAATATCAGATTCTAATTCTGAAAGGTATGAAATAATTGCGATGGCCGACCAAGTTTAGTTTGAAGAAAAAAACACGACGCTCCATATAATAAATATTCTCTCAGCGTTAAACTTCCACGAAACCTTTGGTAATTCATAGAAAAATTGACTTAATGGCGAGACATTGAAGAAATTATCTGGGAGATAAACCCCACCATTAGGTAAATGAAAGAAATATAAAGTAAATTCAGAATTGCAAGGTTCCGTATTTGAACCGAATCAGACAAAGGAAAAAACCATTAGTTTATTTTATATTGCTGAGCGAACATTGTGCGGCCGCCTTCTACCCCGAATTAAGTAAGAATAAAAATAAAAGTTAACTATTTCTTCATATATACATATAATTACTTACATAATTATATGTTTTAAGAATTGAGCTCAGCAATGCTCCTTTAAATCGCAAAAGAACGATTTTCTATATTGTGCAATAAATTGCATATAATTATTTTAACTGAGGGAGATACTTGTTTTGACTTTTGAATACCTTTGTATGAAATAATTGCGACTGGTCGTGTCTGCGCTTGCTCTACTTTCCTATATGTGTTATACTAAATATACTATATACATATATAAAATAAGCCAATTAGAGTCCGCAATAAATATTTGCAAATCTGAACGTTGTGACCACACCTGTGAGCTTCAACATCAGGCATTTCTTGAATATCGAGCGTTGAGCGAACTTATGGATGTGGTTGATGGATGTGACTCAATGTAAAGTGTTGCCGCGGCGAGAAGCAATAGCACTAACGACAATTGTCAGACTAAATCGAATATATGTTATAATTTATATTCATTAGATTTAAACAAACACTTGTAGTGAATTATGTATTCACTTGTTGTCTAGAAATTGACAATTCGTTTACTAGCCAGGATGTTTGTATCCATCTCGAAATATCTATAGACATATGTATACCTATATATACAACACGGTACATACCGTTGATGTTCTTATAAAACTTCCTTTCATACCTGACCTTAGATGGCATTTTTTGCAAGAGATTCTATCTGGAACATGTATTGGACTGATGGTTCAATAACCTGTATTAAAACTCACGTTAGGTGAATATAGAAAAGGCCTTGTCAATCACTTACATGAATGGCACCGGTTCAAAAAAGTGACTTTGGACTAACGCTGGACATGGAGTTCTGCTTTAAAGCGCCTCAATTTAAGGAGAGATAAATTGTTAACTCCATTACTTATGACAAACAAAAGCCACAAAACAACAATACAATGCAATGCAATTGCTACAGATCGACCTACTTAAGTAGATCAAAAGTTTAGATTTTTTAAACTGCGCATGACTCACATACATATATGGTAAGTAAATATGTGCTCTTGTAGCGGGTCCGACTGGCAAGCCAAGTGAAGCTGTAGGCGTTCGACCAACTGTTTCGTGGTAGCTCCAATTATGCTGGCTTTATTGCCCCGGCACTCGCTGCACGTGACTGTCCCTGCAATGTTGGAGGTTGTGCAGAGCACATAAACACCGTGGCATAACATTTAAATTTAGAGTTTGTGTAGTTCGAGTGCTTTTTTCAAGTTTTCATATGTCAGTTTTGGCGTTTAACATTTATTTGTTGTTTTTTGTGTTTGTGTGTTTTTTGCTCTGACATCCTTCTGATCGTTTGTGCCGAAAAACGTTTGCTTAAAATTCTGAGCTGGTAAACGACTCCTAAGTTATGCGCCGCAGTGTTATTTAATTGGCTACCTATAGAGTTTACCATCAGGTGTACCAAAGTACATCCGCTGAAATAGCAGGACGGAGGCATGAGCCTAAGGAAAGTCGATATGTGTGTACTATATTTCGTGTAAATATATTTCGGTTTTAATTGCTTGCGTTGTACTTTATACCACTAAATGTATATATGATAACTACGAACAATAGACAATAGACATTGATAAATGAACGAAAATATAATATTAACCAAGTGTGGTTAAAAAGCAGAATTTCAGCAAGAGTTGTGGCACTGGAGAGACAACGGCAACGGCAGCCATCGAAAGTTTCAATAAAAACTAAAATGAGACCACTTCAAGAAGTACGCGAACGTACTTATGCGCAATTATTTAATTGCTGCAGTTTTAAAATTACACAATAAAAATATTTTAAGATCAGATAATAGGTAATCACAAAACAGAATCAAGCAATATATGTGTACGTGGGTTGATTACAGATATTCAAGCTTAAATGGAAATTCATGTATTAATTTAATTATATTATTCCGTTGTGTACAGCTAATCTATATTGTAAAGAGTATTTACTGAATAAATCCCACACTCATTCGCACTTAACTTTTCCGTACGATTTATGTACCGCACTCCGATTTTTGATTGACAGCTCTGAGGTATAATCTTCATATTAGTTCGCTTAAACCCCGGAAAGAAGTTACGAAGACCTTCCCATTAGCTAATAAAAAAACCAGAAACATCGGATAAACGTTGCGTAATCGTTGGCTTTGTGCTAAGATTGGCATACATGTGTACTTTAAAAACTCTAACTAGATTTAAATAAATTTGGCTTATACTATATCACTAATACTTCAAAAATTCAACCACTTCACTTTGAGATATCTGGCCGAAATATCATTTGTTGATACCGCCGGGTAGAGTGAAATGAAATGTATTTTTAATGATTTTTTTTCCTTCATCCTCTCATTTTATTTATTTAATTCATGTCATGGATGCCAAGTAACGTAATTTTTACAAGACTTTTCAGATATCTACAAAGCTTAGTTTACCATAAAATCACAATGGGAAATCATATTGATTTAAGAAAATTTTAGATAATTGGCGAAGAGGTGAGATAAGTGCAGTAAGATATCACAGTTTAGTGTGTACCATTTTAAATAGTCACACATAGAAAGATATTCGATAATCTTTATCATTGAAGCTGCGCTCAATAATTATGAATTTATGTAGCTGAAAAGGCTTGAAGTCTAAGAAGTTGTGCATAATCCTTTGTTGTTTTTCTCAACTTTCATTTAAATTTGTACTAACTCAACTAAACTCTGCAAAAAAATTGATTAATAACTCAAAGGTTGTCGGTGGTACGGCTTTGAATATTTTGTTGAAGTGAACAGAAAATAGCCGTGCTGGAGCAACCAAGAGTTGGAAATAAAATGTAATTTACATATGAAAAGCGAATTCTGTAGTGACTAAGACTAACGTGTTATTGATATTTAGTTTCCGAAAATATTTATTTTTCTCCGTACCTTGATAAACAAGAGCTGGTTCGACAGATCAAGCGCACACCTCTGCCCCCGTTTCTCAGAACGTCTAGAGTGCAGCATGTTTTTGCTAAAGAGGCTGATAGCTAACGGTATAAGTCACCAGCAATATTACTTGCTGACTTGTTTACATTCCGCAAATGCATAAGTGAGTTCATCGTAATTTAATTGAAACAGTTATTTTGACAGAATTAAATACATTTTAATGGTGGCTAATAGTGGTCAATTTGGAAAGGAAATTAAGTCATTAAAAGTATGAAAAACTGAATTTGAATTGGCGTGTTGATTTCCTCGTATTTGCCACTTTAGACTTATTAAGGTAAATTTATGAGCAGATATCAACAAATTGGTGTTAGGTGTGAAATATAGCTCTTGTCTACAAATAGAGAGCGTGGTAACAAAGTAGTTTTAAAACCTTCCATGATATGTATATATGTATATTCGAATGCAATAGAATATGCCGAATGGGCCTAGATGGGTGCTTAAGCAGAGATGGGTGCTACAAATATATACTTATTTTATTAATATTAAATAACTATCAATTCATCTCGACCGTCGAAACAGTAGTGCCCTTTTTCAAACACTTTGATTTAGTACCAAACTATATGACCTCCTAAATGATCGAGAGATTTCGAATATCGGAGGTATCTACTCCGTATGCCTTTGCATGTGGGTAATTAATTTAAAATTGTTATAATGCTGGTCTAAAATCTTTATGTCAAGTAAGGGAGTTAATAAGTGGTTTCATGTGAAGAAAATACTTGTAATAATAACAGGTAAAGAATGGCTAAGTTCAGGTGTAACCGATCATTTTATATTCTTGCAACTTGCAAGGATCAAAGCCGGCTAAATATCTTCAGGTATTGATAATATTAAAAAATGTAGCGTAAGGGATCAACTTCATTGTTCGACGAAATCTTGAATGGATAATAATCAAGTATCATATACTCACTTAGTTTTATTACTATATTATACTTCCCGTCAGCGGAAATTATACTAAAACTATTGAGGGCAATTTTTGACATTGCTAAGGTATACTTGAGAACTTATTTTCATGCAATTTTATAAATATATAAATATAAAAACATACATATGTATATGGAGTAAAGTCAGAAGGACGTTTGAAAATCGTGAATATCAGTTATATGGAGGCTAAGGCAAGTTTTCGCCCGATCCATTTTGGGCTTAGAGATACACTGTTATAAGAAAAACACTCTCTCTATTTCATTAAAATAGCTCCCACATTGGCCGATATATATGGTATATATCTTAATTTAGTGCTTAGTTATGGCATTTTATTGGTTTCGCCCATCTACGAACTCGTCCACTTTTTTGTCAAAGAACACATGTGCCTAGTTTCATACGGATATCTTAATTTTTGCTCAAGTTATCGCTTGCACAGACAGACAGACAGACTGTCACTCGGATTTCAACTCGCTTCATGATCCTGTTTTACAAACACCCGTTAGGTTAACAAAACTATTATACGCAGTAGCAACATTTTGCAAGAGTATAAATATTATTTACTTAATGAAGACCTTAATCATACGTCAAGCACGAGGAGGAAACATATCGTTATTCATACGTCAACAGTCAGGCGGCTTTCGTCACGTCACGTTTCCATTAATGAAGTCAGATCACATTTGTTGTCTTTGTGGCACGCGAGCACTTTTTAAGTGTTTGAAATACTCCGCCTATTTGCCGGACAGGTTTTTTCGAAACCATTATGCAAAACTTTAATAGCTGCATGTGTGATTACTTCATCAATTATGTTTTATACATTTAAGCGTTACGAATTCACACACAGGCCACCGCCATTGACAATGACGTATGGTAAATTCGCAATCAGAAGTGAATTACGGGCTTCGGCATTTATAAGATTTGCACATGTGACGCCCGTTTAAGAAAAATCGGTAAATAGTTTAGCATGTCGCTGGAAAGTCGTGTGCAGATCTATTTTATTTGCGATTTCACACTTATTATTTTATTACTAGCTATTTTGTTATGGTCTGGGCCAACGCATAAGAAAACCATTAATCTTGCTTAGATGCACACTAAGTGGCACGTAGCGCATGCGATCGATCGTGATTATATTTAAGCTAAGTCCTGCCAATGTGTTAAAAATAAGGGCGCACAGATTCTGTGCCGTTCTACTTATCCAACAGCAAGTAGGCTTTTTGGTTAAGTTGTTTTTTAAGTTAATATAAATACTTTAATTTCTTTACTGATTCCAAGACTACCGTTTTTTTAATATATACACACTTTTTATTAAAATTACATTTCTTATACTCACTGTTTTCTTTTTACAAATATTTGTGCTTTTCACCACTGTCACACATAAAGTATATCACGAATTAATTTTCCGTTATTTTGGCTACAAATGTTGACGAGTCCTTTCAGCCGATGCCATTCACCTTCAATAGTTTGTGTTTGAGTGCTGAGTGAGAGCAGCGTGAGCCAACGTACGTCTGCTTAACGCGGTAATCACGAACCGACTGCTTTTGCCAATGCACTTCAGCGGCGGTTAAATTCAGTTAGGCTCTCCAAAACCAGATACCACGGGTGAAAAAGCAAAATCAAAAGCAGACAAAAAGCGCTCCAACATGCAAAATAAACAAGTGAAACAATTGCAAGCAAAGTGAAAACCATAAAGTCACTGCCGAAACTACACAGCCACACACGCACACACAATAGCGAGCAAGTGCTGCGCAAGCGCAGCCGATGATTTGACATTCGCACACTCCAATGAGCGGTAAATTTAATGCGAAACTAATGCGTGTCTAGAAACATTTAATTAGAGTATTTAGGTGATTGTAGGGGTGATAAGCCGTTGCTCGATGTCTGCGAATTCTCGTATTTAGACGAACGTTTCCGTATTGCATTTAAAACGCTTTGTGCGCGCGCTATGCGTAAACACATCAGGTGATTATTAATATTACAATATCTAAATGATAAAACATGTGGTTGCAATATTTTTCTGGCACATTAATTTACGTCAAACATCTTCTTGCGCAATTTTTATTAAATGCGCATACGCTTGATTTTTTGATACATTTACCATTTTGGTGGAGCACAACATTGCCAGAGTGTTTAAGCCAAACTAACTGGTTTCTTTGTGCACTTCGGTGGCGAAATATGCCTCCCGCTGCAAATATGCACTAAAAGCCAGTGACAGAAAGGAAACAGCTTTTTAAATATTATATCGCAATCGCGCCAAGCATCAAACTATCGGTGTCCAAACCATATTCATACAAATATGTATGTATGCGCGGTGTGCAACAAACAGTTGCAGTAAGCGAGGCTTTATTTAATTACGGCAAGCATTCAAGCATAGAATAGCAGTCGAAGGTGCATGTTTGTAGGCGATTTAATTGGATTACTTTTTAAATATTTTCGCAGTGTTTTAATAAACTATGTACATGTATAATTATTTATATGCAAGAATGTGTGCGTAACCGGACTATCAACCTGTGTCGGCAATTAAGTACTTATTTCTAACGATGCAGTAAATACCGAATTACATATATTATTCATGCATATTCGTATTTATGTTTGTAGGCATGTAGGTACTTTTATTTTGTGTACATTTTTGGAATGGCGCGCCAAAGTGGGCGCGGCTCTAATCAATTTTGACCAGGCAAGATTTATCACTGCAAACATTTTTGATGTATGTATGTATGGCATAGCGGGTCACGTAAAAACTAAAAATTTTCCACAATATTGAAAAATTAATACAAAAAAAATTGTAATTTATTCTTTGCAAGTTTTCAATTGTTAAAAGATACTTGAGTATATCCTAGTCTCTTAAACAACAACGGATATAAGGATTATCTGTTATTATTATAAAGAATCTTAGCGTAAAGAATGAAATGAAAATATTTGGATACCTTGAGCCTTCCAAATGTCTTATTATAATTTTTAAAAATCAATTTCAATTTTAATATTAAAATTTTTTTTCGCTAATAATTTCAGAAGCATTCGAAAACTTTGTTTTCTTAACCCTGAACCCGAACTCTTTAGGTATTCGAGTAGTTAACGATGGTGACGCATAAATATTCCCAAAGTAGCCCGTTCCTCTCAGATCTTACATACTTAGTAAACAAGTGACTGGAGTATAGTAATATATTTTGCAATTGTATATTTATTTCGATAACCAGAAATTCAAGTGAGCAGTTTATCCAACTGATTTCAAATAAAATGTAAATTATAATATTTATTCTTTGGTTAACTGTATTTCATTTAGACACGTACATAAGTACCTATAAAAGGTTTTCCAATAGGGTTGATAGTATTTCTAAGTGTGTAGGTGTAATCGTTCTCCAATTGCAACTTTTCGTGCGTGTTCATGTTTTTATGGTCATAATAATTATCCACCTGTGCTCGCTATTCGTCGAATTGTGAATCGAGGAACACTCGAAGTAATGCAAATATTCCTACCGTTCAGGCAAGTGTTGCTGAAGACCGCAATTTGTCGATTTTAACACGTTCTCAAGAATTGGGACTGTCTCTAACCACAACCTGGCGGATTTTGAGAAAGGATTTGGGCTTGCATCCACATAAAATTGTTCTCACTCAGGAAGTGGAGCCATTGGACCACCGTAAACATCCTAAATTCGCTGATTTTGCCTTGGAACAACTTCAAAAAGAAAATCATATTCTCCGATGAGGCTCACTTTCATCTGAATGGAGCGGTAAATAAACAAAACTGTCAATTCTGGTTCGAAAAAATCCACAAGTTACATATCATTACATTCATCTAAATTGAAAGTTTGGTTAGGTTTTTGGTCTGGTGGAATCATCGGTCTGTACTTCTTTCGAAACGAAGCTGATGACACCGTTACTGTCAATGGAGAGCGGTATAGATCGATGATAACCAACTTTTTATGGCCGCAACACGTGCACACAACACGCGCAACAACCGAATAATTGCGAGAAGAGTTTGGAACTTCGATAATTTCAAGAAATTGTGACATTGAATGTAACACCATTACACTACTTATTGTGGTTTATTTGAAGTCATTGGTCTTTAACAAAGAAGCAGATTCTCTTCAAGCCTTAGAAGTCAATATTGAACGTGGTGGTCATGACGTACGGCTTGATTTAGTGGAATAAGTACTCCAAATTTTTTTGAAAAAGAAAAAATCATATCACACTTATTGGAAAACCCTGCATATATGTATGTTAACTTAAGTATGAAATTTTATTAAAATAAATATTACAGTTTGTAACGGATGTCCACTTTTATTCAGCGTCATACAAAATAGTCTAATGAAAATAAAAACACAATTGCCTTCACCAAAAGATTTACAGACGCGTATACATATATGTATACGAGTACATACTATTGCATTGACAAATCATTGGACATGGTTTATTCGTACAGTTCTTGAATTGCTGCAAGAGAATGAGTATGAAACTCACCCAGCAGTAATACGACGGCAACAAACTCCGTATTCCGTGACAGCCTCTCAGAACTGTTGCCAAACGGATGTTGAGTAGGACAGTTGAAACTTCAAAGTTGAAACAGAGCGCAGCCATTATGTATAAATAATATTCTAATATGTATAAAACCAACTCACAATTTTCATTAGGGGCTAAATTCAAGAGCTTTCTAATCGATACTTCACTGATATTATGGATTAGGTTTTATAAAATAATTTCTATATGCGAATTATTCTTAAGCTATCGCTTAAATAAACTCCTCTCAACTCAGTTAAAATATTGATTTATTTGGTAAGTTTTGGGCTAGTCATAAACTAGCTCGTTTTGCTACTGGGCATGAGCAAATAACCTTATATGTGTGCTGATGTCAAATAGTTGAAATGCACGTGAGTGTTAAGGCTACTACCCTGAGTAATGGATATGCAATTATAATGCGTAGTTGAAAACCGACGCTTAACAAGCTGACTGCCAAGAGTAAGTAAAGGCCGGATTTCCAAACAACAGCATGTCACCAATCGCTGAGTACAGATGTTTATTTGTTTTCATTATTGTTCATCACTGTATTACAATTTGAGAGGCACCAGCTTGATTGCCTCATGAATGCTACTTCCTTGACACAAAACGATATAACTATGAAATAACGTAACGAAATTCTTCGGTAGACAATATCATTTTTACGTTTCCAGTAAATTCTCGCTTAGTTACGGGTTTCCAAATATACGATTGATCACCCTGTAATTCGTTCTCCACCTTGGCATTGCTTCATTTCTGATGCAATATTTTCGTAGCAGGTTGCAGCTCGTGCTATATGTTAACGATAAGCTTTTCTTCATATAGTTAGCTTATTTCAAGTTTTGTAGATAAAGCTTTCTATGATGATTTTCAATGAAGCTTTATTTGTAAGCACAAAAGTGTACTCAACCCAGTAGAAGATAAAGTTGCCACCAGCTTTTTGGCATGATAGCATATGAACGTTATCTGTGGGCTATGAAACCACTGCGCTATTTACTGTTAAAATTATTTGGATTACAAGTTGTTCTCAGTATTACACGCAGTCATTTCACCTTCAACAAAAAAAGAAGTAGAAGCGGAAGTCATTCGAACTTCAAGTCAATCATATGTATGTACATATGTAAGCTACTAAAAATTTATCAGACTCGCTTTTATTAGGAAATGCTCCCATTTTATTGTTTTAGAACATTTTTATATTTTTGATACTTTTGTTCAACATACTTTTTTTGTTTTGATACTTTTGTTATTTATATATATAAGTAAAATTGAAGTATATATAAAAGAAATTTATGCATACAAACATGTACGTAGATATATAAATATGTATGGTACTTAAAACTAGAAGGTACATAAAATACTTTTGCAGCACTCGACGACGATTATTATCAATAAACAAGTACATATGCTCACAGCTATTCTGTACATATATATGTAAATATGTGGATGCATGTAAACCATATTATGAAACATAAAATGTTAATTTGAGTGTGAGTGGATTTGCTGAAAGTAGAAATGCTGGCGCTACACAAAAAATATGTGTGTTTGTGTGTGTGTGTGCTACTCTTTCAGTCTATATTGATTTGATTCAAGTGCCGCAAATGCCTTACATGGCGGCTTATACAATATATAATACAATAACTCAGCCTTGTGGCTGAGAGGCTTGTGGCTGCGCGCTTCCATTTGAATGTTCATTTCTGGCCTGTCGATTTATCGGGTCGCGCGCGCACACCCCACTTTCCAGACCCGTAGAAGCCGTCATCGATTGCAATTCAGTAGAGCGCTTGCCGCTCTTCTTCTTGCTTTGTGGGTGGAGCAAATTCAGCCAAGCACTGCGCGGCACCTCATCCAGGAGAACGAAATAAATAAAAAGCACGAAGCCTTGCACGGTGGCAGTGACGCAAAAGAGGTAGGAGAAGAAAACGCCGGCTTGCATGTAAGCGAATAAGCCAAAGATCCACGAAATGCCGAGCAGGAAAAACAACAAAACCGACAAACGTATCTGCTTGATGATCATTTTCTTCTCGCTGCGGTGTATTGCCTGATTAAGCGTGTGCGAGATGCTGTAGAACACATAAATGAAAATCGTTAGATTGACGACAACAACAGCGGTCACTGGCAAAATAACGCCCAGCGTCAGGCCCAAACCGCTGGGATAGCATATGGCAGTGCTCGTTTGTAGCTCATTCTCGGAGGGTATGTACGAGCTGGGAGCAATGCAGGCCACGAGCATAGTGGGTATGAGCGGCAAGCCCCACGCTACTATCGCTGACTTTAGTATGTATCGTTTTGGGCGCTCAATGCCGATAACGGTCACATACCGCTGAAATTGCAGCACTGCTATAATTAGCATCCACATGAAGAGCACCAATATGGAATACTGCAGGAAAGCACCCAACAGCACGCAATTTATGTACAGCCGATCCTCCACCAGCTCGGCGGACATATCCTCTGTGTTGACGAACACAAAGAGCACTATTTGCAGAGTCAGGGCGACACAAAGGTTTAGTAAAATTTTGGTGGAGGCAAGCGCCCGCCAACTCTTAAACATTGCTGCCGTGACCCAAATGCACAGCAGGCCCATCAGGGAAAGTGAACAACCGATAAGCGATATTATGTCCAATGCCCGCAGATGTATGGGCGTAATGAGCACATCATCGGTAATATCCGCCTGCTTGTAGGTGCCGCCCAATAGAAACGAGAATTGAGTCAAATGTAGTGTGCGACACTCTATAACGGAGTGCTTGAGCAAATCCTTAATGTCCGTCTGAACGCCATTATTCACCCAAGTGCTGTAGTTCCAATAGCCGCAGCCAGTTCCCGGCTGTGCTATAAGCGATGGATCCAAATAATCGAAACGATTTCGCAGCAGAAAAGTTAACGGTTCCGGAAAATTTTCTGAAATATTAAAATGAATTATATAAGAAAATGCATACAACTGCTGTGAGGCAACTCACCGTTGTACCCTGGTATGGAAATGGATAGGATTTTGCTAAATGGTTTGCGCGTATGCACCAGTGCCGGGTCCACAAACAGCGCGTCATGACCATACACTTTCATAACAAGCACAGGCAGTTTGCCTTTCGCCTGCAAAGTTGCGCGGACATTACGCCAGAGTCCCGTGGGCAGAAATGCGGCCACCTGCAGCTCAGGCTCCTGTTTCAGCGCAGCCACAGTTTCATTCATGTAAATAAACCGATAGCGGAAGTTCGCTACTACCGTATTGATCAAAGCATGTGGCACGAACGAACTGATACTTTGTTGGGCCATCGGCGCATACAAAGCAATGCCCGATATGTTGGCGCATTCAGGATTCAGAAAGAACACACTTATGTTTGTGGAAATGTGTGCACGTACACCTAAGTGCCCTATCTTAACTTCTTCCACCGCCCTTGAGTAGCTACTTGCAATATCCGCCTCCGATTCCTCACTCGGACGCGACACAATAGTTGTTGTTGAGGTGCTCGAACAACCGTTTGTGGGCACCTGACGAGCGGAGAGTGCATCCATATACTCTTCAAACGTTTGCAGAATGGAGTTGGTGGCATTCAAGTCAGCCGATATGCGCAAAACCTGCTCTTCACTCGACATCAGGCGGTCACAAATCCGCACCATATCCGCCGAAACCTCAGGATCTTGTGCCGTTATGGCGACCTCATGCAGTATCTGTGACGTCAAATGTACGTCGGCGGGAAGTAGTTTGAAGTTTTTTTCGCGCAACATTGTATACAATTCGCCAGTCACCTGGCTGCGTTGTGCCACACCAGCTTGCAGCAGCTGCCCTTCGAGCAGCTTTTCATGTAATGAATTCAGCTTGTCGCTGAGTATGCATTCGCGAGTTTGTCGCATGCAAACGGCGCGCTGCCAACCGCTGATATCTTCCCACTCAGCGGCACGACTTATCGGATTGTAGCGGCACAAGCGCGTCAGCGGTAACCCATTTGGTTTGAGGCACACTTCTCTTAGGCCCGCGCGCTCTCCAAGGCGTGCGCGCTTCCAAATATTTATATTGGGTTGTGTATAGTTTTCAACGATCACGTAATCATGCTCGAAAACTTCAGGCAAGCAATAAAGTGGATGAGGTGTTTCGCTAGTACTCCGCTCGAATTCTGTACTGCTGCTTTGCGATGTGAAAGTGCGGTCGAAGTTTACTTCTCTGCTGTCACTGACACTATCACTTCCAGTGCCATAATTGTCCATATTAGAATATTGGTCCCTAGTTAGGACGGTTAGGTTTTTTGTCGCAGTAGCTGCTGTAGTAGAAGCAGTTGTATTAGAATAAGGAAAAGTATTGGAATTGGCAGTGGTAGTGTTAGGTGTGGTGAGTCGTTGCCAACTTCCGAATTGTCCCTCGGCCCTAATTGCAGACGGCAATTTCGGAACTCTATAATTTGCACTACCATCTTCATCGCTCTCTGGATCTGGATGTAAAGGTCTCAAATGAGCATTGGCAAGTTTGTATTGGTATTCGTGCGTAATGGTCACAAAGAAAATTAGTATTTTTAAATTCATTTTACAAAAATAAGCACAGAATATATGCTTCGTAAGCACAATAACTGAATCACTCCGCTGATATTTGATTTGTCGAAAATTTAGTTTCCGTTGTGCATTTCCCGCGCACAAATTCGCGAAGCGCTTTCAATCTGACGTGCTCCGCTATACAAGCCAAACTGAAAATAGGCACTGACTGTAGAATTTGCACTCGCCGCTCGGCGCACACACACACCCTCGCAAGCGCCAGTGCGCGCACAACTTGCCACTTGCCCACTTTCCGTTCTCCGTGTTCATCTGACTGCGCTGATCACATCGTAGTGTTTGCAGAATACACACTCGCACACACACGCATTACGAATCGATTGGTATTTCAGTGTTCGGTGGAATTTTAAATGTCTCACCTTCTGCTTATCTTGGCATTAGAACACTCATGCCTTCGCTCTCTGTTCGACTCCCTTCAATGGAGTCGCTTGGAGAAGCTCTGCATTTTCAGGGTTGCCTTTGCTCATGAGCACTTAACTTTTCAGTTGTTATTTTGTTGCTTTTTATGTATTTTGTATGGGATTTTTACCAAGATTGTCGGCCTGTCATCATTTGGTTTGGTCGTGTTCACAGATTTTGTTTATTTTTCGCGCCTTGTCATACTGCGTACATCAGCTTATTATTTTATTTTTTTTATTCATTACCGTTGTTTTTTTTATATTTATTAACTGAAATAGAAACAAACTTTTTCATGCCCGGAATTTATTGGAAAATCGGTTCAACAGCAAAAGCTCACGTAGTGAAGTCGGCACGTCGGTCGCACACACAAATGCACACATGTAAGGTAACTTATGCAATATACATACATACATCCATACTTAGTGTCCAGACATATGTACATACCTTCATGTGTGTGGACATTTTTTAACCAATTTTGAAATGTTTTGCATACCGTCAATATTCACTATATTTACGATTTTATATCTCATAAGCCCTTCTTCCTCATTAACAGAGATTAGTGTAACAAAACACGTGTACTCTGTCTCTCTTTTATAACCCCATCAATATTTACAGTACATACCTATATTAATTTATGATTGATTTTTGTCATTTAATTTGCATAATCCTGTTTGGAGCTCTACCAGTTGAAGAACTAAACTTTTCTAGGAAGGGAAAAAAGTAAATGAAAGAGCGATCAGTAACCGAAATATTACCTTTTTTGCGACAGAGATAATCTCTAAAAAACAAAGTAAAATCTTTTCTGTACTTCTATCAAATTTGATGGTAACATTAATATTATACCCAACACTCTGTGTATTTTATCATCAAAGGAAGCTTTTCTACAACAACAAAGTTTTGCTTAAGGAAAGCAGCTCCGTCGCGCTTAGTGCAGAATATTTGATGAAACACCCCTCAACTCGACATTAAACATTTCCCCCTCAGACTGCAGAGGGGTCAAGATCTGTTACCAGCAAATATGATTGTTCTCTATAAAAACCAAAACTTTACAGCATCACAACAACAACGATTAGGTTTAATCTATGCTCGATTCGTCTGTGAGGTGGCACACTCTCAACAACTACAGCCTTAAAACCGATTGAGTTGCACATAATTGCACAATGCGGTTTCATCCGATTAACTAACTTACGTAACCACACAGGGAATAATGACTTCCTTACATGCGGTTGCTGTGATTGATACCCAGCTTGCAAGGAAAAGAAGACACGTTCATTCATATTGCCAAGGTCGTTTTATTGTGGAACTAAAGCACATTTATTTATTTATTTACAAAATTGTGAATCAGCATTTGGAAGATACGTGCAAAACAAATTTTTCCACAAAACGTATTTCGCTCACGCCGCGTCAAAAGGTGAACGAGCATTGCCGATAACGCGCGAACAATAGAAAAAGCAAAACAAAAAAAATTATAAATTAACTTAAGATATATTAGCCAAAAGGTCTGACCGAGCGCGCAACAGTAGCTGGAGCGTGTCAGGTGAAAACGATTTCGTGCTGACATCTGACTGGATTATTATACTCGTATATCGTACACAAGTATACTTATATGTTTGCAATTAATTATTAATAAATATTTACAAATATACAGAGATGTATAAATGCTTCCTTAGTTCTAAGCGCTGTTTTCTGCCTGACGTCGACCATCAAAACATTCTGAACTGGCGTTTGAAACAACAACACACACACCCAAACACTCGACGTTTGTATGTGTGTGTGCATTATTAGGCACAGCACGATGTGAGTCTACGCCGCGGCTGACGGAAGCAAGAGCGGTAAACAATATTTGACTCCAGCGACCAAAATGAACAAAAATGCGCGCAGAACAAACAAAAAATCCAAGAGCTAGCAGAAATAAATTTTTACTATTTAGTCAGTCAATTTTAAACTCGTTTGGGCTTTTTGTTTAAACAATAAAAAATATGCAAATTATGTTAAATGTATTATTAAGACCACTTTTACAGAGCAATGTTTTGATGTCGGAATATTTGCACAGCCGTTGACCAAGTCGATTGAAGCGAATAAATGGTAATAATATCGAGTTGAAGAAGTGATGTTTTCGCAATTGAAATCACTTGTGCGCGCGTCATCGCTTACGCTGGCGTCGAATTACGGCATATACAAGTATGTATATGTGGATATGCATATGTACAAATGGCGATAATGTGCGAGAGCTCACCTGTATGGAAACAGCGCAGTGGCGTTCGCACACAAAACTAGCGAATATGCCTAAGCATAAATGAAAAGCTCTGACTCACTAATTTATCGCAATGGCAATCTGACCACATTATCGAAGAATTGTTGCTCGCTCATAGCCGCAAATGCACACATTGCTATCTTATCTGTTACTTATAATACCGATATGTGTACTATATATGTTAGCTATGTATGTCTGTTCACCAGTATCTATGTACATACTTGTATGTATTAATTTACAATATGAGTGCGCATTTTTATTTTGGCGATGAAACCTTCTATACTCCAGTTGGTCTTCCTGTGAGTTTTCTTTTTTTTTCGAAAACACACGGTTTTATCGGTTTGAAGCCGCTTCCAAATAGCTGCTGCTTAATAAAGTAAAGTCTGTAGGGAACCGATCGCTCCTCAAACCTAGGTTTGAACCAACAACCTTATGCTTAACATACTCTGCTGCAGCAAGCGCTCGCTGAGAGCAGTATTTACCATTGATAATTCGCGCGAATACAGCAAAACATATTACGAATTTATAATAATATACTTGTACATCGAACAGGGTGATGATACCAACACATGTTTATTTCTAAGTAGCTGCAATTCGCTTTTGACATGCTTTGGAAGAAGGGGTATGTGATAGAAACAAAGTCAGAGCCTAAAATTATTTATTTATTTTTACTAAACACTTTATTTTCCAACTTTTATTTAAACAACTACATCATGTTACACAGAAATATCATATCAAGGTACCATAGCCTTACAGTGTCATTGAAAATATATTCGTATATTTAGAACGAATATAAAAAATACATTTCATAGCAAATGGATCAGGTTAATATAAAATTTCAAGAAGAAATAAAAAATGTCACTTCTTATTCTTCCTTGTTCGTCTAATGTCCCATTGATTACAACGGAAACTATATCATTAATATAAACGATATAACATCTTCATTCCTATCATTTCTAAACACGTTTACAAACTAATACTTTCGTATTTATCAGGAAAATTTCTTTAAAAACAATTTGTACTTAGTAATATTATATTTCTCACAGAGAATTATTGGAAGTAATTTGGAATAAAAAAATAAAGAAAAAATTAAGTTTATACAATTAGACAACACAACAATGCGTAACGCGTAATTGTTTAGTACTTGAAGATCCTCGGTGGAATGTAAGCGTTCGTTGGCTCAGGCACTGAATCCGCCACAGCTTCCACAGCGGGAGCGAGATACTGATTATTCACGTTGGATATAGCTGGAGCAAGATATTGTCTATTCACATTTGACGCAACCTCGTGTCCGCCTAATTCAACCACATGACCGCCGCCGTATTGCTGTACAATCTGCTGTTGCAGTTGCTGCGCCTCTGCGTGTGAACTATACTTGAGATAATGCACTTCCGGCTTGTGCGACTTGTATGTGGTGGTGTGCTGCTGGGATGCAGCTGGCCTGGATGCCTGTCGACTGGGCTCCTTGCTGAGTACGTAAATCTTGGTCCTTGTCTCTTCGGTAACATGGGGCACTGAGGTGTGCAATGGCTGGTAGCGAGATTTGCCGCTCTCAGCCGCTTTAATAAAAATCACATTCAAGTGTTTCTTCACTACGGGCGCGGGTTGAGCTGCAGGTACAACTGACCGATGAACGACAGACTCGGCTGGTGCGTTGAAGTAGTAAAATTCCTTACGGTATATAGGGGCAGGTGCAGCTTGCTGAATGTATTGCTGCGTGGCGGCAGCTACTGGAGTGGAGACATATTCTGCAGCAGCTGCGGGTTCGGGGGGCGCGAGTAGCACCTGTGGCTCGGGAACACTCGCGCTGGCGTAGTTATAACCCATATCCTGGGCCGAAGCTAGAACCAACAGGCTTAGACACTGCAATAAAATCGGAATTGAACTAGTTAAAAGCAACCCAATTAAGTTAACTAATATAAATTCCTTACCACACAATAGGGAAACATTATTTCTACTCTGGTTCTTTACAGTTCAGCAAAGTTAAATGAAATAAGCAATGGTGCTTTGTTCCCGCTATTTTATATTAAAGTGAGGAAGAATCGGCCTGTTGCCAATAATTCTTGTATTTCAAGTTTAGGGCTTAATATGCAGCTCTTAAACGTTTATCAAATACAAAAATGTCTACCTTTCAAAAGGCCGACAAAAGAGAATATTGTGAAAGTCAAAAACAGCCCGAATGTGTTATAAAAGCGTTTAGAATTTTGCTTACTTGTCTGGAAAAATCATTAGTTTAATGTATGCATATATTTATGAATTTTATGCAAATAGCCGGCAAAAAACGTGGGGCGAGGCCAGCATGGGTACATGTGTGTCCATATCGAATATTCAATTTACACACGTTCCACAGAGAGACGGGCGAAAGAAGAGCAAGATGCAGACTGGTCCAAAACTTGTATTGAAGAAACATTTCATTATTCCCAAAATTATCAATTTTATTCCAATTGGCAACGAATTTGGCATTAAAAGTTTTAGTAATTTGTTTCAGACCAATTGCAAACCAAAATATTCGAAATGCTAATATTATGAGGTTTTATATTTTTCTCGTTCTACAGCTATACCCTACACACTGCTCAGTGTTACTGAGTAAAGCCAGAGGGGAATTTCTGAGTTTATTCTATAGTTAATTTAAATGGCCGATGTTTGCAAAGACATTTCACAATAATTTTTTTACAAGTAGGGAACTATGGACCTTTTGATATCACTTTTGCTTACATGTTAATAACAGAGTCTTCCAAAGTAATCCTTCTGTATGTTATTGGTTTTTGAACCTTTCATTATTTTTCTGAATATAAAGTTTGTTCTTAATTTCATTCACATCCCTTGACACCTAATGCCGTTAATTTATTCAGTTGAAAAATATTTAACTAGTGATTTAGTATGTAATTTGTCTCAACCGTTTTTTTAATTTGTGACATACCAACAGACTGGTTTGTAGCTTAATCGGCTAGCGCGGGCTGAGTTTATTGCTTCTGCACAGCTTACAAAACGCTTGCATAATTAATTCACCTATTAGCGTTGTGTATTATATACAATCTCGAGCCATTAAGTGTTAGCACGTGCTTCAAAATACTTAAGACATGCATAACAATTCGGGCACATCAAAGACAACTCTTTTGGTTGAGTCTTGCAATGAACTTCGATGTGTGTAGCATGAAAGTACTTATAGAATTGTGGAACCCGCCTCTATGTAAATTATTTCAAACTTAACCTGGTAATTTTTGCCAATGGTCCATACATAGATTAGGTAATTCGGAAAGACTTTGCTGGGCACCAATTCATTAGCTCAGCTTCGAAATTGAAAATTTCTTATTCCACTTAATATAGCTTAGAAGTGTTGTCAACGCCAAACTAATTTATATACAGTATATCCCAGGCACGCCACAACAATTTGTTATTTTTTCCAACTTTTTAATTTGTTCCATACACTGTTACCTTTAGTCAAACCAATATTTCACAATCGTGCAAGAATCAATGAGTGAGACAACAAACATTGTGTGCTTACATATAACGGAGTCTAGCTTAATTCTCCTGAAATAAATGAAACATTTTAATATCTAATATTCTTATCAGCTATCAGGGCAATTAAATTCGGTAAAATTTATTCTCAATTAGAAAATAATTGCACGCAAAATACTTAATAAAATCCGATACCATTAGCTGATGACCGCAATGAAAATTTCACTAAATTTCAACGAGAAATAAATGAATTTATTTTCGTTTCTCGTTTATATCAAGTGTCTATACATCTGTGGTAAATTTTAATACAGAAATTTCATTTAAGTAAACATCAAAGTTAATTTTCATTTACACATATATACTTGTATATATAAATATAAATACGTACTAAACTCGAATACTACCACTAAATGAGAAATGATATTTTATGCACGTAGACCTGAAACATACATATATAATATAAACAAAACAAATTCTACATACAGACACATATAAAATCAAAGCAAATTAGCAGTTGCAATATTAGCTGATACAAATACCATATATACGAGTATTATTTGCAATATCTATTACAAAAGTACGTATTAGCACATTCAAAAAGTGTTTATTATATATTTAAAAATACACCTAGTTCTGTTTTTACACGGTAGATTTGTTGCATATAAAAAAAATGTTGATCGTATGCAAAAATAGGCGATGGATTTCTTATCTTTAAAACCTATTAGAACTAGTGAAAAGCAAGGATTATGTAAAAAAGCTATGTTGTTAACAAAAAGAAAATATTATTAAATTTGTAAGGTAAGAAAAAATTATTTAAAACAAGTAAGGAAGGGATGTAATATCCCTTATATATATATATATATATATACTAGGCGCCCTCCGCTGCGCTCCGGGACGCTGTTACTTGATTTGCATACTGGAAAGTGAAAGAATCAAATAAAATTTAACATGGTGTTATATGGGAAATAGGCGTGGTTGTAATCCGATTTCGCCCATTTTTGCACTATAACATAGAGATATGAGAAGAATGTCACTTACTGAATTTGGTTGAAATCGGTTAAACAGATCCCAAGATGTGGGGTTTCACCTAAAAGTGGGCGGTGCCACGCCCACTGTCTAATTTTGAACGCGGTTCCTATAAAGTCATCTCAGTCCATCCCAGAGATAAAATTTAATGTCTCTGGCGTGTTTAGTGATTGATTTCTCGCGCTTTTAGTAGTTTTTAACAGTACCGTTAAATGGGGAGTGGGCGAGGTTGTCACCCGATTTCAACTATTTTCGCACTGTAGATAGAGGTTCTAAAAACATTTGCTACCAATTTTGTTATTATAGCATTAGCGGTTTAGGAGATATGCACATTAAACCTATAAGGGCCGGGACCACGCCCACTTAAAAACCCAAATTTAACTGCAGATGTCCCTCCCTAATGTGATCCTGTGTACCAAATAACAGTCTTGTATCTTATTGCGGAGCTTAGTTATGGCAATTTATTTGGTTTTGATTAATGGCGTTTTGTGGGCGTGGCAGTGGTCCGACTGCGCCCATCTGCAATACCAACCGTCTCACGGTAGCAAGAAACATGTCTACCAAGTTTCATAAAGATATCTCAATTTTTACTCAAGTTAGAGCTTGCACGGACGGACAGACAGTCACCCGGATTTCAACTCGCATCGTGGCCTTAGACAATCCATGCCATATTTCGTGAAGATCAAGTGAAAAAGTTTTCCATACAAGCACTTGGTTCCGATCGTTCAGTTTGTATGGCAGCTTCTTGACGAGAAAAGAGCGGCCTCAAAAACTGTGGGACTAGTTCGCATGACTCAGCAAATATACTTGTATGTGATAAACTTTATAGAGTCTCTGAGGTTTCCCTTGGGGTATTACAAACATCGTGGCAAAATTAATATACCATGTTCAGGTTATAATGAGAATCATAAATACAGGAAGAAAAAATTTAATTGCGGTCATCATCAGTAACTCGCATTGCTTGTAATCTTTTTGTGGATACAAAAAGGGAATTACCCTAAATTTGTGCTATTTACAATTGCTCTGACCAGTAAACTTGTATCCACAAAAATAGAATTCTCCTAAACATTTGATCTTAAAATTTAAGCCCAAAAATTTTAATCATGCTAAGTGGATTAAAATCGAGTAAAAAATAAAAAAAAATGTTATTTTCAAACCGTATAAAAACAGAATTTGACGCATATAACAACGCAATCAAAACTTTCCTCGACTCAGTGTCAGCTTAAGAACGCTTTCGTGCAATGTCGTGCAAAGACGTTTTTATCGAAAATATCATGTGACTGTGCTTACGTTTTTCAATTGAAGAAAAAAACAACTCGACGATGTTGGTTGAATTCCGAATTCGAACACAATTAGCTTTGAGGATCGCTACCAATGTATGCGAAACTGACTGTGAGGTAGGTAAAAAGATAGTATTATTCATATTTGTAGCAACCATCAGTTATCCAGCTTCAGGAAGATCAAGTTTCCTTACTTAGTCTGTCGTAAGATACTCAAGGAGGTGGCATGCAACTTTAGTGCCGAAAAATTCAACACCTTAGCGCCGCACCAAAGCTCCTCTTGACAAACAAAACTAACTGTGTATAACATTACGTCATACTCTTCCTTATACATGTATATGGATCGCGAATGTCGTATTATTCGTCTGTTTGAGTTCCATGCACATACATATGTATGTCTGAGGATCAATACCTACGAATATTCAAATTTAAAAAAAAGACATACAAGTCGATATGGGTTATTTCTTCATAAAGGTTTTACAGCTATTATATATACATACATTTGTAAGCGTTTTGTTGCATGTGAATCTTCACCACCTAGACTCATTTTATTTACAATATCTTCCACTAGTCTTATTTTTAGTCGGGATGATACTCTCTTAACTTTAAACTTAACTTATTTCACACATTTGCTCCAATGAAGTACCGCTATATTAGCTACCAGCTACTATACAGTGGGTATAATGTACTAAGATATTTGCTTTTGATGTAATGCACACTTGAAAAGAGCGCTTGTGGTCAAGAGTTGTAGACTTTTGGGATATAAAAACACATAGCATAATGTTAGTTTAATCAACTTGTTGACTCGGGCACGCACGAGCGGTTCCACACAAAGAATTTTATGAACGACATTCCTTGTACTTGTATTGAGGCCTTGACAGCATTGAATGCCATCTCGCATTTTGGTTTTCTTGTAAGCAGACTTGGATACTCCATCGATGTTCCTTGGTGCATATATTTTCTCTGTCATTCATGCCTATACATATATAATAGTTCTTTTAACTCAATTCTTGCAGCCATTTACAATAACCTTTCCATATCCTCGCTCTCCGCCTCGCTGGTAAAGGAGTCGGTATCAGTAAAGTAATCGTCACCTCGATTTCGTCGACAGCAAACTTGCCGACTGATCTCGTCGTCACTCCAGTGTTCAAACTCCTCTTTGTGATGTTCAAGTATCATTAGTGATGGGAAGAGACTATCGCATGCGTTGCAACTGCAAGATATAGTTTAAAAAAACGATTTATACTTTATGTTTTGAAAAATATTTATGTTATGGGTTGTGTATGGTTTGGTATAAATCGCTGATACTAATACTAATGATAAAACTTTCTAAATCTCTGAGTAAAGATTCTCCGAAACGGCTGAACCTAACATTTTGAAATTCGCAACCTTCTTTATCAATTAATGATTAACGGATTAATGTTTTTGGTAAAAACTTCGATTTTTTAGGCCATTCTAAAATGGAAAATTAAAAAAAAATAATACTTTTGGTGGGAGGCAGTCATTTTGCCAAAACACAAAGTTTTGAATAGACATTCGAGCTTTACTTGCATTCATCTATAGCATTTATAAGTGTTCTTGGTTTTTGGGTTTGAGATAACTTTATGCAAAAAACCTTCCTCTGGCGGTGAGGTCCTTTCCGGAAGTCCACTTGGACCTCCTGGATCGCGACAGCAACAAGGGAATTCTAAATGTTTCAAAGTTAATTGCCGATTATTAAAGTACATTAAATTCTGTAAATGTACATTTTTTTATTTATGTACTAAACAAAATGTCTCTTCAAAAACTATCGCTTGATGGTAGAAAGATCATGTTTTTGGTTCCCCATTTATATTTCCACAATTACGCACCTCAGGTGCTCTAGCAGTCATAGTCCACACGCAACATCTCCTTTTTAGGATGGTGAGCAAAAAGAGGTCAGTGTCTTTAAAAATTTCAAATATCGATGCTTGTAAGCACAAACTCGGCTCTTACGGACTTTCTGAGCAACGTCAATTCAACTGCGATATATTTTTCCAACGTGGACTAAAGCTTAATTTTAACTTATAATTAATGGTATTCTAGACAATATATGCAATTTTGAAATTTATGTATATTCTGAACTTCAATTTTCACAAGAAGCGCAGCTCCAAATTAAGCTCAAAGCGAGTTAGTTATTCTGTAATTATACCAGTGACGATTTAAGGATCTCGAAAAATATGCAGAATTATGCCAAACAGACAAACGAGGACCAACAGCAAGTACATCAGTCGAAACCAACTGCCAGATAATTCCAATTAGACATCCACTAACACATATATAGATGGTGAGGGTGTAGGTGCGCAGATGCTCCTTGTCGCAGCCGTTGATATTGTTAATGATCGTAATGATAATGGCCTTGACGACGCAAAATGTGGAGCATCTCTGCTCTTGACTGCTGGCTGCTGTCTTCCCTTAGAATCCATTTATATAAATGAATAGAAATGACTGATTACTGCTAAATGACTGCTCCTGGTCGGCTGGACTCCCGGTCCGCCGTTTGTTGGATGCTGAATGTTGTTTGGTTGACGCTGCATTTGTTGAGCTGTCTCGTAATTATATTCCGCTTTTAGATTAGTTATTCTCATTATGTTTTCATAATTAATTTACAAAATATGTGTTAGTGTGTGTTTACAACAACTCGACTTTGTACGTGCATATTTAAATGATTAATTTTATTTTTTTAGAGCTTTTTGTTTTGAATTCGCTGACTTCGCCAGAGCGTATTCTACGCTTAAAGCTGGAGCACAACATTTTACCCCATTTTGTTTGGAATTGCCTGAAATATTTGCGGTAATAAATGTGTATATACCAAAATTTAACGGAGTATGTATATGTAATGACTTAATTATATGCATTCTTCACCCAAATGTTGATTTGATTCAAAATAAATTCTTAGTTATGCCTATATTATTTGTCGTTTGCTTTCCACTACTTATGCTTCAATGAGATTTTCTATAACAAGTGTGCGCAAAATTTTCGTTAGAAAATTTAAACTATTTTTTATTAATAACAAAATCCACAGTGCGTGATAAACGAAAATCCGTCAGCAATCCGCTATAAATTGTGCTCATAAAAATGTGTTTAGCTGAATAATTGAAGCAAATAAGTTCTCGCATTCACGGAAATGTCGACTTGAAAGCAAAAAAAATGCCTGAATACTGGAATGATTACTGTTGAAATCAAATCAATAACTGTAAACATGAAAATACATATTTTTGATAGAGTTAAATTTTTACGCACACATGAATATATAATACTATATGCAACGGTATATTTTTTATTTGAGCCGACCGAATTTACAACGAATGTAGTACCTATATGTACATATTTACATATCAGCATACTCTCGACTATTTAGCCAGCAGAATTTTGCTTTGTTGCTCGCAAAATAATTTACAGTTTTTTGTTCAAAAGAATTTGTGTGCGAAATCCTACTGTGTTACATTAAATCTGTGGCTTTCGTGATTGTGCTTTAATGAATTCAATTATTTTTACTTCAGTTGAACTCTACATTCTCGCATAATTTCGGGTCAGTACTCTCTTATTACTTTATAAATACCAATGCCTAAACTATACTAGTACATTGCATCCCACAGCAAGCGAATTCCATTTCTATAATATTAAAAGAGTTTCAGCACCTGATATCTTTCCACCGGCAAAAGTCAAACAATATCTGTTTGATCCTTAAATTGCTTACAGTGCGAGCAATACAAGTAAGTTATAGAAAAATAGGATGGAAATGCTGTTAAACAACGTAGATAGTTGTTTAAAAAGTATTACCTAGTTACGAGTATAATTTTAAACTCAATATTTTTTATGGTGTCAGAATATATTCAAAAATGAAATTCAAGCGCAACACAACATGTGCACATATACCTACATACTTCACTCTGATATTTAAATCAATGTGAATGGAAGCTTTTATGATGAAAATTCATAAGGTTGCAACCACAAGTTTTGCAACGAAATGGTGTTTACTAGAATTTGGGAAATGACATTTTTGCCTCGGACAGCTGTCAAAACAAATAAAAGTGTTTTCGTTTGACGTGAAAACCCGTCAACTTCAAATAAAATAAAAACGTTTCTTTCAATGTAACGGTGAATCATTTTGTCATGATTTTGATATTCAACTAACAACTTTTCACGTATGTAACATATCGTTTATTATAAAATTTATGCATTCGCATGAATATATCTCTTTTAATTTTCATCCATAATAATTATTAGAAAGGGCTAAATCAATCACAAATGAGAATATCGGTATAACACTTTGCACATATTAACATATTGTTTTTCTGCTGAAAATGGCAGAAATCAAACTTTACCTTTTCAACCCCCCAGATATTGGATATGTGCACCTCAGTGCTTAATTAATTTTTTACCGAAAAACTAGAAGAATCTATATGATATCTTAAGAAAATTAAATGGGCATATTTTTCTATTAAGTCGCAGGGCTGAAAATTAATCAAATCAGGTTTACTTCTCCCGTAGCCCCAATAATGCGCATAAAAAGATTTTCAATCTTCCTCTTGATTTTATATCGAGACTATGTAAAATATCTGAATTCAAATTAAGACCCGGGCTCCATAGTATTACTAAATATAATAATCAGCCGAGACCCTTCTTTGGCACCAATATATCAATATGGTGAGTTTTTACTTTTTATATGACTTCATACCCCGTATCCCCTTTGAGATGATATCTCGGACATAAAGCGAACACACAACCTCGCCTTGCTCCGAGCAAATTACGAGAGTACGTGTGCAAAATGTTAATACTTTCGTTGTAAAAAACAATAAATTTGGAGATCTGTAATTAATTTCATTGTAATATGGCAATAGCGAGACATTTTCCTAAAAAGTACCGACTGCAAGGGCGCGCATTCCGTCATAAGAAAAATCCACGTTTAGTGTTTAAAGTCTTTGATATAAAACTGCTTTCCCCTACGTTCCAAATTGCAAATTCCTGTCTGACTAACCTAATGCAGTTTTTCTAATATTTTCTCAAATACAAATAAATAATTCAAAATTTTTCTTAAGACATTTAATAACTAAATCTTCTCTCTTGGTAACATAGACAAAACATTTTTGTTTTCCAATTTGTTTGAACAAAACAAAAATAACAATTCATTGTTTGATCGATAAAATTTAAGTAGACAATAATGTATTTCCACCAATAAAAACTAGCTTGTGGCCTTAAGCTGTTTTCTTGGTTTCGTTATATTCGAATAGACACTCACCCGAAATGACGTTTCTTCTGCTGATGCGAAGCCAATTGCCTATGGCAATGGAAAGCTCTATCACAAACATTGCATGTCAGAGATTCATCTGTAAAAAGAGCACCACATTTGTATGAATATATCATATGTCAATATAAGTATAGAGAAAAAACAACAAAAGCAATAAAATATTGCTTATCGAGATGCTCTTCCTTCTTTTATTTATAGATAATTAATATATATATACCTATTTCTAATAAAAACCTGTTTAACTGGCACTTGAAAATACATTGATTCCTCCTTTCTTTTTATACTCTCGCAACTTGTTGCTACAGAAAATATCAGTCAATCCACAATGAAATCACAAACGAGTATACTATTTGACTTTGCGAGAGTATAAAATGTTCGGTTACATCCGAACTTAGCCCTTCCTTCCTTTTTTATTTCAGTTTTATTCCCAAAGCAAATTCTGCGCACCTTTTCTCAACGTTATCATACGATTTTTTTGTTTTTTGTGTGTATGCACTTACCATAATCATCATCATCTGACATCGCCATCGCTTGCAATCGGTTTATAGTGTTCTCATTGACTTCCTTGTGCCTCTGCATTGCGGATGAGTTCGATTTCGTTGCGCCACCACCGCCCGCGCAGCCCGTCGCATCATTCAGGTGACACATGCCTTCGGTAACAAAATTTCCCTGGCAATCGGGCAGTGTACAAGGAATCATAGAGCCATTAATGGCAGCTGCGCCAGCGCGGCCGCCTCCACCACCCCCCCCATCACTCACCACCGGGTACACATGCTGGCATGTAGCGCTGCTATTACTATTACCATTATTACATCCATCGCCCGAAGTTATTATTTTGAAATTATCAAACTCATCAAAGGGATCATCGATTTTGTGCTTTTGCTGTGAACTGGCATCGTCCGAATCGGCACTTAGCCGACCGTAAGCTTTGCGAGGTGGTCGCTTCACATATTTATCTGCAAATACAATGGAATGGGTCCAGTCAATGTAAGTCTAAAAGGGAGTCATAATGAAGATAAGCAAATAAGTGCAGCAGGAGTATAAGGTGGCAATAATTTCGAATATGTTAAAATTAAATTTTAAATTGGATAAAGGCTGGTGACATTTATTCACTACTTGTAGAGCAGATTTCCTCGTTTACAAGTTTGTTTTATTGTGTGCATGAGCTTAATATAATATATAACAGTTTGCATCAAAATTATTAAGACGCCTCCATTTACTCATACAGATGTCAGCCTTGATAAGATGATGCCCAACATTGCGAAAGGACTTTATTAACAATTCAAGTTAAAACTAACTCTAGCAGAATATGTCAACTATGCCGAGGGTGTATGTGTACTACAACGTGGTTTATGTAAGAAGCAGTGATTTCGTAAAGGATAATCGATGCTGATAGGAACACCGGAAATGAGTTTTACATTGAATCTTTATCCTGATTACTAGCAATACTTGCCAAAATATAAACAAACTAAGTATAAGGAGAAGTCTAATAAGGAAAAGAGTTATCAAGTGAGCTTGGGCGCAACTGAGTTTATAGTATAGTTCACTCGACTATTGCAATTGGTAAATTAAATAATGCAAAATTTTTCATATCCTGTTGATACCCAAAATTTGGTAACCAAAATCATAGAGAAAAAACTCTATAAATAGTTGAAAGAAGAACTAAGCTTTATAACAACTTTGAAAAAATAGCGTCAATTAGCCCCTAATGCTGGCAAACAAAATTTTTGACTGGTGCCCACATTCCGTAGCCATCTGAAAACTTGGTTTTAATGATATGTTCTATATATTCCAGAAATGCATTGAAATGTTTCCTTTCCTCAAAATCTTCTAATATAGAGCTAAACTGACAGTACGAAAAAGCAAATATGAATCCAACATCTGTTAAATTTCAATTTGTAATGCCTAATGAAAACTATGAGAGGATTAGTCTCAAAGCACTTTGAAGTACCATAAATAGTACAATTACCTTATGGCGCGGTTCCGCTTAATGCAAGTAGAATCACAGTTATTTTGCACATACAAAAGATAATAAAGTAAATTCGCGTGTAATCATAAGACAATCGAAAGTGACATAAAACAGCGAGATTACTCTTTCCACTTCATAGGTATTAATTCACAAAGACATACCGAAATACTTGTGAACTTGCGCGGAGATATCGGATGTGCATAAAGTTTTTCCTTCACAAAGTACTAACTCATATACTCCTATATACATATTTTATTTCCAAGGAAAGTACTCAAACATATTTTCAGCGTAAATGAGAGCAGATGTTGATGATAATGACAGCACTCAATTCTACAAACACGATGACATTTAACGCACTCGAAAAGTCTCCCAACAATTCCATGTTTCGCTGCCTGCAGCTGTGGGTCTCATATTATATACATATATATTTATTTATGTCGGTATGGATGTATACATGTTTATATACACATAAATATGGACATATTATGGCCATCTTTCATTGTAAATGAATTTGGGCCTCACAATCCTAGTAAGAAAATTATGACTCATTTTCTATAAGTCTATAACACAAATCATTCATGTACACAGAAAATATATGGAATTTAATTAAACTAGTAACCCTTATGAGAGTCTCAACATTTTTCACACGGGTGTTATTGTAGTCAAACATCAGTGCCATTCCTGTACCGAAATAATCTTCCGAAACGAAGAGGCACGCTTTTGCACTCAGAAAATCCGTTAGTCTGTGCCAGCGGTACTCAAATAGATATGGGCTATGGTTATGAAGAATAATAACAGTACTTTTTCTTAATGTTATTCCTCTGTCTCTTGTGCAGAAGCACTTTATCTTTTTTACTGAAACTTTTCCTTTGTCTTCTGCCTTCTACAATGACGCATGCGATTTTTCCGCCATTATAGCTTAAGTGCACTCGTTTGTGCGAATGCCGCCTATACGCACCATTATGTGTCTATGAGCATGCAAATATGAAAGTACAAATATTTAGCCTCGAAAGAGCAAATAAGCAACGAAAATAAATATAATGTCTTTTTCTAAAAGGATCTGTAGCGAGATAAATGCTAACACCATTAAAATTAAATATGCATGCATTCCAGCAAATGTTGTTACTAATCATTATTCCTTTGTTAAATTGTTAATCTTTTAAGTTCTGCATAGTGAATTTATGAATGTACGTGACTTGAACGCACATCGGTGAACACAAGATGGTAGAGACAACGTCAGAATCACAACAAAACGAGCACTCCACCTGCTGTCGACTTTGTTCACCTTAAACACAGCAAGTGACATACCGCCCCCTCTGCGGACATGACTGCTGAATGTCTAACTCTCTCCCCTCCTTTGGCGCTTGGTAAACACCGCAGCGGGAGAAGTCGGGGTTGTAGTGAGTACCGTACATACATATTGACGGTAGTCGATGAGTTTATCAGTATAACAACTTGTTTTCATAGTTATCGTGTGCTTTTTCTTGTTATTTAACACAGCATTTGCTGTTCGCAAGTTTCAGTGCAAGGTGCACTCTTAGCCTTGTCGTAGTTGCAGCCATTATACATTATACATAAATCAATGTCGCTGTCACAGCCTGTGTGCCGGTAACTCAATGTGGCAGTGGAAGTGAGGGAGGATGGTGGACGTGCAGAATGTTGAAAGGTTTATGAGGTGTTCGCTTGAGTAGTGAACTATACAAGTAATGTGGGGAGAACTTTCAAATTATTTGTTACTAATAGAAATAATGATAATATATTCATATATAGTAAATATTCATATACATTTCTTCCTAATAAGCTTATTTGGCACTGCTATCGGATATAGCTGCCATACAAACTGACCAATCAAAAGCAAGTTCTTATATGGGAAACATTTGTATTTTATAAGATAGATTATGGTGCTTAGCGGTTCTATAAACTCAGAACAAATTGTTCATATCAGACCACTTTACCTTAATTCAACTAGAAGTTTGTCAATCACTCATAATTTACTTACTTTATTGATTTTGTTCATCTGTCGTTTCTAAAGCTGCTATAAAAAATGCACCAGTTAACAGTTTAATAGCTTGGGTGCAGCCAAAGTCAACGTTTTTCTTGCTTTGTTTTCTGTATGACGAAAATAAAACTCATTGAACTTTAGTAAATGAACATAGACATGTCTTTAGTCATCTCTTTTACTAAATACAAAGCAACTTCTTGTCGGATAAACCAATTATCACCACTACCCAACACATGGATTATGATGTTATTGGTGTCGTCAATTTACATCACTTGATATCTAAACAGTCTCAATTACAACTAGCGCTAATGGCCAATCTGCCTATCCGAATTCACAGACACAGTTCCTATCTTTTGCAATGTTCAAGCTTGAGTAGACAAATAGTCGCGACGTCACCTCATTAATCAAAGCAAGTAGAGATAGGCTACACATACACCCACTTTGTATACTCGTACACAACACATATAACCAAAAGTTGTGCCTACAAAATTACTAAAAAGTTAAATGATTTGTCAGCACATCATCAACTACAACTATTACACAATTATTACAGCTTTTTTGGATTAATTAAAAATCTGATTTGCTATAACTTAGCTCTCAACAAATAATGTTTTAGGCAATCCTTTCTTTCATCTATATTGCTGGGGGGCGTCTTCCCCTAAATCATTATTTTGAATAAAAGCAGACCAGTCCTAAATCGTTACAGAGGTGGCCATTTTAATTCTCTTTTGTCCAACTTTATTGTTGATGCTGCGTTCATCAATTGGTGGTTACACTCAAATAGCTTTATTATCATTGACATAAGCCATAATCTATTCAAGCAACCGAAACCTCGCGTACATATGTAATTTTGGTGCAGTGATTGTTGTGGCAATTTATCGACGCCCTTCCAAAAGGTGAGTACTCTAAGCAGGGCGGGACACAAAACGCCAGAAAGCGGAAGCAGTTCTAGACGTAAGAACCGCTGTGAATGTCACAGTAATTAAGAATGCCGCATATGTGGTTGCAGGTAAGCCATATTCGTCTTATTCTACACAAATGAAGTGAATATTGCAGCAACGAGTCAAGCATCGTGCCAAACAAACCGCAATTGCCGCAATTTCTGGAGCACAAACGTCCATTTGCTCACATGCTTGGTTGTGTCATAAATACATTTCCACACATACATTCATGGTTTATGCACCTCTGTCGAATTCATCACATGATGTTCCCCACATTCCCCACATACTTATATGTTGATATGTCTGCATTTGCCACACTAACACTTACACTTGTGCTTTCTTAGTTTATTGTTTTTGTATAAGTATAATTTAATGTTTTCTGTGGATTAAACTTATACGTAGACTAGTGTCTTTGTTACTCACGCCTTCTTTGCCGCATATTATTTCGAGTCGTGTTCATCTGTGGCTATATTCATTTCAAAGGTACGGTCTTTTCGCGTCGTTTTGTTTTAGCGTGAACAACAATTTGTTTCATTCATTTGTGCCAAAAGTGGTTAGCACGGTTTAAAAGTGACAATTTCGATTTAGTCGACGGAGAACGACCCAACGACAGCCAAATTCAAGACGAAGAATTGGAGACATTGCTCGACGCAGATGCATGCCAGACGCAAGAAGAACTTGCAAAAGTATTACGAGTTGATTAAGCAACCATTTCCAGACGATTAAAATCATTAGGATTCATCCAGAAGCTTAGAAATTGGTTGCCTTATAAATTAAAGCCAAGAGACGTCGAACGTCGATTCTGCATGTCGGAAATGTTGCTTCAACGTCACCAAAAGAAGTCATTTTTGCATCGGATTGTCACTGGCGATAAAAATGGATTCATTATGATATCTCTAAAAGAGTATTGAGTTATTAATTTTAAAAAGGTTTAATACTAAGATAGCAATAAAGATTTCTACAAATAAAGGAACTAATTGTGACGTTACTATAACCGTTAAACATATGCTATCGCAATATTTTTGGTAAAAAATTATATGTTCT